CATGATCTCTCTTTAAAAACCAACTAGAATACATTTTTTTCAAATTATTCAACTAAAATTAATATAAATTATTCAACTAAGTATGTTAAAAGTATGTTCCAAGAAAGATTAATATCCAATTGCAATGCAAATTAAAGCACAATGAGAGAGGAATACATAACATATACAATCCAATATAATAAAAAAGAAGAAGAATATATAAGAAAAGAAAAAAAAAGAAAAAATACGAGATTGCATATTAGAAAAATAAAAAGAGGAAAAGAGAAGAAGAGACAACAGAAGACAGGTTAGGAAGGCGGTGTTACCGGCACGGACAGAAATAAAGTAGAAAGAAATAACTAAGAAACAAAAAGAAAGATAAAGAAAGAGAGTGCAATCATGTTTGTCCTTGAATTTATATAACAAGAGTCTAACAGCGAAAGAAAAGGATTTTAAAAAAAGAAATAAAAAAATGGATAAAAAAAAAAAGAATAGATAAAAAAAGAAAAATAATGTCTCCAATAACATTCAAAATATCCAGTGTGTGCTTCTACAATCATTATATTTTATTAATCATCCATTTCAAAAATTTTATTAAAAAAATTTTATTAAAGTTCAATAAAATAAAAAGATATTGATAAAAACTTCGATGAAAAATTATTTTTGAATTAAATATAATTCAAATAGCATATATATGTATAAATTTATCTTTAAAAATATAATATCTTTAAATATATAATATCTTTTATTAATATTCAATTGAATAATGCATTTTATAACATTTTTCATTTGAATTTAAAAAACATATACAAAATAAAATAAAATTAATTATAATATATATTTTAATATTATAATTAAAATATATATCAATTTTATATTTAATAATTTTTTAATATTAATGTTTATTATCAAAACATTAATAATAGAATAAATAAAAAACATGTGAAAAAAACAAATTACAGTTGATGCACAGTTAATCGAATTTTTTTCCAAACTTTTCCTCTAAACATTAATTTTTAATTAATTTTTTTGATATAGTATTTATTTTTTTGATACAATATTTTATCTAATTTATTAATTCGATTATTAATTTGATTTATTAATTTGATTTAATCTTGATTATTATTAAATAGAAAAATAGTTTACTTCGTTACATTACTCTATTCATCTATAAAAGGGTTGAAGGGCAACAAAAACAAAGAGGGTTAATTCGCACTAGCTTGAGGTAGGACGTGCACAAATAGTCGACAGGTGTCGCCACATTGCAACACATGCCGGACTCAGTCGAGAGATAATAATTCTCACGTGTCTCTGTCAAGCGGCTTCAATTCACTATACATACGAGAGATTATCTAGGTTAGAGACATGTTATATTATTGCGTAATATTGAATGCTATCTGACTATATAGCTATCTGACTTTCTTTTCTATCTCAAAGAAAAATATTAAAAAAACATAAAATATAAGCAACATCCCTTCTAATAATCGATTATTTATAAATAAAAAAAAGACTAAACTTCAAAGAAATAACACAAATTTTGGATTGGTTCTTATATTTTTCTGGTAGTTCTCGATAAATAATATTCAAAAATATCAGTTTTAAATGAAAAAAACTTGCAATTCAAAAATAATTTTTGTTTCAAAAATTGCATTAGACTTACAAATGAATACATTTACAAAATAATAATCTCAATGTTATATTTGTAAGAGAATTTAAGTTTAGATTAGAGTTCTAGATTATATTTTTTTGTTAGGTTAAGTTTTAGTTGAATTTGAGCTAAATTACATTAGATTAAGATTAGATTAGACATAAAAATTTTTAATATTCAAATTTTTTAATTTTATTTATCGAACACTATCAAAAAATATAGGATCGTTTAAAAATTAATATTCCAAAAATTTATCAATAAATATTAAAAGTAATGTTTCCATCTTAAATTACTTCTATCTTTATATATTATATGATATGCGTAAGAATTGAATCAAGAGAGAAAAGTACAGTCAAGATCAAAAGTCAGATACATGACATAGATTTGACTGAAAGAGTAATTTTCACAGGAAGGCTATTCCAAAGACAAATGTTATAATCGTAAAGAGTTCAAGATGAATAGAAGATAACTCCAAAAAGAAATTCATCGCTAATATCGCGGTCAAATACCGCGAATGCGGTCACTGAACTAGTTCCGTTTCGACCCTGACACTGCCATTGCCCCCAGGTCGCGATTTGTGTCAGAGGCTCAATATTGTCATGATTTTATTTATATGCACATATACCTCACCTCTTTCGCTAGATTCCATTTCGCAAAAGCCTTAGACACCGTGCTGGACGTACGGTACACGACACGAGTATTGAACAAGTACACGTGGAATATTACTTGTAGATTACGGGCCGCTAGCTTAAAATTCACCACGATATAAACATGGCCGGTCGCTCTCTTGTCACAATTATCCTGAGGGCGTTGAACTTTCCCGAAATTGAAAGACACATAAGTAAAACACCAAAACTATCTTTTCTTTTTTTTCGATGCACAAGAAAAATAGTAAAGTACTGTAGCTTAGTGCGTGCTGTCTAAAAATAGATCCTGAATTCGGCGATTGTTTTGACTAACAATGTGATTCGCAACCTACTCAAAGGTGGCGCTACATATAATAAGTCCAATCCTCTACATATAAAGTGAAAGAAAATATAAATTTCATTGCAATTCTGAAAAAATGTATAAAATATATATCATAAAATAAAATTTCAATAAACTATTTATATAAATTTAAAACAAATAAAAATAGAATATTTATATAAAATATATATCAAGTATCTTTCAAATATTTTATAAAAATATATGAATATAAATTCAATTTTTTTTATTTTATAATTATTTATATTTTTTTTATATTTTTTAGTTAAAAAAATTATTGTTTTTAATATCATGTATATTTTAAAATATAAAAATAATTCATTAAAAAAGTTAAAATTATTAAAAGTTATTTTAAATTATATTATTTAAAGTATTATTCAACTTAAAACTTAAAAAATTTTATAATAAATTATATAAATTTTATTATAAATTATATATTAAATATAATATAATTAAATATTAAATATATAAATAATAATTAAATTTATATTATATTTAAATATGTAAAAGTAATTATATATGTAATTATATATGTGTATGTGTATATAATAAAAATTTATGATTTTTCTAACTTATGATATTTGCGAACATATATATTTATATGGGACTTAGTATACAAACAATATATACATTTATAATAAATTTTTCTTTTTCGCGCTTTATAACATGTAAATTTAACTGCATGTTTATTGGATATTTAATAACAGAAATTCAAATGAATGAAAAGAACCAATCAATATGCATTAATAAAAGAAAACATGTCGCATTCATGAAAATGCGGAAGTATAGCTTTAATAAATACATTCAATGTTTTGATAATCTGACTTGTTAAGTGTAATGAAAAATAATTTCTTTTAAATGTATGCACATATTATAGTAGTATATATGCATTAATGGCAGGGAATGATATAAAACAAAGTTTACGTAAATTAGATTTTCCTTATTGCGCTAGAGAAGCATTATGCAAAATCGGTAATACAATAGTTAACATAGGTTAGGTTATAAGTCTAATAATTTTTATCATCTTTTTTATTATTATATTGCTATTTTATGTAGAGATATTATGCAGCAGACCTGGGAAACAAATGGATTTACAACTGGATTTAATATCGGAATTTGTATTTGGAGAAATAGAAAGACGAAAAAAACGTAATTTGACAATAGCAATACAAGAATTGCAATTAATAGAAGTTCTAAGCGATTTTTTTCAAAGTCCTGGAGGAAGTGCTGCTGTGCGCAATGCAGTTTTTTTATCTCTTTTTCCTGCAGATAGTCCCAGATATAAAATCTTAGGCAATTTAGTATCTTTATCCATTGCAACTCAAAATAAAGCAGTCTTGAATGCAACTGGAATTTGGATGCAACAATTAGGATCTACTTCATCACAGAGTGTAGGATTAGCAAGGCATGTACTTAATGACTATTTTGTCCTTACTCCAAAATCTATTGACAAGTTGAAGCAGCTTCCTGTTCTTGCATCACATTTCACTGCCAACTTACTAACGGCAATAGGTGAAGTTTATGAAGACAAAGATCCACCTACGGAACTGCTCAGATTGGTAGGAGAATGGATAGATGAAAACCCAAGCTTATTATTAACTCCTTTGATGGATAATCCTGCTTTACCAACTGGTGGAATTCCAATGACACCAATAACACCAATTGCAGGTTTATTTAGGTAATTCAAATAACCATTTTTTTGCATAATTAAATATAAAAAATTTATACTTTAAATTTTGCGTTTTTTAGATGGTGCATTTTATCACCTGTACGTTCAAATGCTATAGAAAATACAGAATATTCAGAGGAACAAAAAAAATTGTATTCTAAAATTCAACAACTGCTTATGGACTCAGTATTAAGATTAAAAAATAGTGGAAATAATAAACATGCAATATCCGCACAACATTTTGCAGCTACTACTCGAACTTTGACAACTAATTTACAATCTCATTCTACTTCACATGATTTAGCTATGGAACGCCTTGCTCAAGCTGTTAGTGCAGCTATGTCTGCAAATTGTATTTATGGAAACAAACGTACATATTATAATTCTTTATTATAAAATTAATTTTTAATTAAAAATTAACTTATATTTTTTTACAGAAGAGTTATTGGCTTTGTTACAACCTCTATCATATCAACATTTTTTAATTGAATGGACATTACAGACTTATGCATCCAAAGCTGCTTAATAAATATAATTTCTATTATTATTTTCATTATGGAATTGTAAATAAATTTAAATTTAATATGCAATATCATAATATAAATGTAAACAAAGTTATAAATATCTATTTAATCATAAGTTTATATCATTAATATTGATATGTATATTATTTTATAAAAATATCTATCATTAAATATATTTTATATTATACATAAAAAGTTAAAATGGTTTAAATGTTCTCTTTAATTTTAAATCTTGTAATCTTTTTTTATCTAATTCAAATTTCTTTCTTAATTCTGCCAAATCTGTAAAAAAAAAGAAGTTTAATTATATTCTAAATATTAAAATCTTATATACATATATATTAAAATTAATATGATATAAAACTTACTCTGTTTTTTACTCTCACGAATTTGGAAAGTATAAAAGTTAAGTAACTGTTTTTTCTTATTTTTTTGTTCTTCTTTATGTTGTACTTTATTAATTGTAGATTCTTTTCTGGAAAGTGCAAATTGTCCTCTTTTCTTTCGTCCTGTTACAGTTACCCAACCATCATTATTTTGTACTTCTTCCTCCATAATTTTTTCTTTTATTATTTTCTCAGCAATTTTTTTATCATAATTTTGCATATAAGTTTCAATTTCCTTTTTCATTTTTTTTTCATTGCATACAGAATGATTATATTCAATACACCATTCTATATAATTAATTAAAATAAATAAAATATTTTATCTAGAGAAATCCATATATAATTCGTTTAACTTACTTCTTATTCCTGTTAAGCAGTAATTATTCCCATCATTTAATGTTATTATATAATCATCAGAAATTTCTAATGCTTTCTCTAGATCGGATTCATTTTCAAAAATTATATATGCTGTTTTGAATCCCTTAGAAATTATAAAATAAACATTAGAAACAATTCCACACAAATCACCAAATATTTTCTTTAAATTTTTAGATGTAACATAAGGAGGAATATTTAACATAAATAATGTCCTTCCTCTAGGATGTTCTGGTTCCTGATTTCTAATCGAATGTTCTTTAAAAAATAATTGATGTTTGTCAGTAGTTTCTTCGTTAAATCGAATCCACATTGCTAAAAAATTAAAGAATCATATTGAAATTTACTTAGAAATAAATATATTGCTTATGATTGCTTATGAAGAAAATAATTATATACTTACTCTTAAAACCTTTAAGATTATTTTTTTTATTTATCATAATCATTTCGTTATTTATAACCTCTATTGAAATTAATGAAAATTAATAATTTTTAATAATATTGAATTTTTTGTAATACACATGCACACACACATATATATATTATAATAGAAATCAATTTAATAAATATATACATTTATTAGCTAGTATATACATAATACTATACTATATTTTTACTTTTATTCTTTCAAGTGTACAATAGTACATACAATATGTCTTCTATTAAAAGCTATTCAATTTCCTTACATATAGCATATCACGCTCGTTCGGTAACTGAGCTCATGTATATTGACTGAGTAAATAAATATAAATAGTTGTACATATATATGTATGTACATCAATGAATGAGCAAAATATAAACACAAAATTAATCATACTACATTTTTAAGAAATAATTACATTATATTAATATATTTTAAAGTTATATCACTGAATAACATTTATATACACTGAATAACATATATACATAATATATTGATATTTAATCGGAAATGTTGAAAAAATTAATGTATATGTAATGTATAAAAAAATATTTAACATAATATTAAATAGTAATTATTTTTTTATATTTGCATATCTTTATAAATTATATTTTATTAAATTCTAATAAACTTTAAACATTTAATATTTTTTTTTTAGAAACATATATAATAATACTATTTGAATTTCGTAATTTTACTTAATTTTATTTATATATATATAATTATAAATATTGTTTTATTATATTTTATTATCATCATATTAGTGAAAAAAAAAATATCAAGATCATAAAAAGCATATACTAAACATACAATAAATCAATTTCTAATTTTTCGAATTACGATTCAAAAACTCAGATTTATTTATGCTATTAAATTTTAATATTTTTTTTATTAAAAATTTTTTTTTCTAAATTTTATATTAAATGTTTATATCTCAATATATATTAATTGAAATGCATAATTTTAATGGCTATGAAATATTGATCATGAGAAAAACAGCAAGGTAACATGTTGCAGATATGTAGATACCATTTCAATTCAGGAAAATTGTACAATCGTGTGTCAATTATGTTTAACATATTGTCATTCTTTTTCATAATATTTCAATACTTAACATATTCAGAAAATAAAATTCTTCAAGGACAACTTATAACACGTGAAGTACTATAAATATCTTTTTGAATCTTTTAAATTTTGTCTAAAATCTTTGAATCTATTTTACAATATCATTCATATTAATTTTAAAAAAATAATTTGTAATAAATATATATATATTTTTTTAAAAATATATATTAATTGTAATTATATTTAATTTTAATTAAATAAAAATACTATATTATATAAAATATTCTTGTTATTATAAACTAATATTTCTCTTCTAAAAAAATAAATAAAGGAGAAGAAAAATTTTTTATATTTTTTATAATTAATATAATAGCATATGTCAATTTTTTATTTTTGCAATATTTTTGAAAATGGAAGATAATCTTTAGTTTTTTAAATTAGAATTAGAATTAGAATTATATATATATTTTTTGTCATTTCAATTATAATAATTTTCAATGCCATACAAAATCAGGGATAAATAAAATAATTTATATATTTCTATAAATAAAATAATTATATATTTATATATTATATTTGCAATTTAAAAATATATTTTGATTGAAGCTAAATATATTTTCATTGAAGCTATATTGTACATTCAATGTAATTTATGTGTATAAAGATTAATTTTTTAATTTATGATTAATTTTTCGTTTTTAATATTGATGTTCTCTTTATAAATTATTAATATCAATATTTACATCATATACGATGTCTTTAACACTTCGATAACGCACGATGATAATGTTTATTTTTATTTATACAGGTCCCATATAATTTAAAAAATTACGGATTTACTTTCATTTCCCAAATATATTGTAAATATAAAAAATATGCTATTATCTTGTTTTTAAAAAACAATAAAATTTTCCAATATATTACTATAAAAAATAATTCCCTTTTTAGAATTGGGCATTTTTAGCAAGATTTTGCTTTTTAACGGAACAAGGTATATTTCGATATAAATTTGAATTAGGAGGCAGAGAAGAAGATTTAAAAATATTATTATATTATGATGCACCTGATCAATGGCCAAGCATTTATCCTTCGAACAAAACGTGCATTGAAAAAGAATCTATACTTTGGCATGGAATTGGTCAAATAATACCACTATCTACAGTAACATTTGAAGAATCAGGATGCATCGAAAAAGATGCTGTAATACGATGTTCCAGTAATCGTAGATTTCGATCATCTCGTCCAAGATGGTGGTTCATTGCATTAGCAGATTGTTCTTCAAAAAGTGGATTAAATATCTCATATTCAATATCATTAACAAATGCACCACATGAGAATTTCTGGAAAGAACACTTTTCAGCAGATGAATTTTGTAAGTAATTCTCTTGATTTAAAATCATTTAATATTATTTACTTAAATCCATTTTTTTCAGATATATTGCCAGAATTATTAATTATTGCTTTTATTTATGTGATACTTGTAATATTAAGTTTTTATTTAGCTATGCAATTAAGAGCAAGAAGATTATTACATATATCTTATAAAATATTTATGGCTTCATTATTTTGTCAATTAGTGGGAGTATTATTTGAAATTTATAATTATATAAATCTTGGTTTGAGAGGAATATCAATAGAAAGTGCTTCTTTATTCGGTCAACTCTTAGAAGCATGTTCAGATATTTTATATACTGTACTTATGTTATTATTAGCACTTGGTTTTACAGTAACTAAAAGTGTTTTAACATCAAAACAAATTCGATGGCTCATATGTTTTATTTGCTTGATTTCTTTTTGTCAATTTTCATTGTATATTTATCAATCCGATATCTTTGATCCTGGATTGATATTATATATTTATGAGTCACCACCAGGTTATGGATTAATAATATTAAAGTTGATTGCATGGATTATATTTTCTCTTCGTTGTTTTAAGACTGTTAGAAAAATGTCAACAAAACTTCACTTTTATGGTTCATTATTTTCATTGGGATCAGCATGGTTTTTATGTCATCCATTAACGGTACATAAAAAATATACATTTGATTCTATACATAACAAAATATTATGTAATAAAATATTTATAAAGAATTTATTATTTATTCTTTAATATATAAAAACATTTATTTTATAGGTACTCTGCATTACTTTATTAGTAGATGAATGGGTAAGAGAGAGTGTTGCTAAAGGCTGTTCATTATGGACTGTTTTTATGGGACATATAGTATTTTTATATATCACTAGGCCATCTATGGCTAATAAACGTTTTCCATTTCATATCAGAACATGTCAAGTTATGCCAATTGGTGGTGAAGGACAAGATCACAGTTATGAACCCAATATTAGAACAGCAAGTTCTGCATTCACTATTTCACATTTAACACCATCTATTTTACAATCTTAATAATAAGCATATACCTTAAAATATATGATAATCTATGTAATTATAATTGTACAATGATTCTCTTTTTATTATTTTCTTTAATGTTCATAATTAACAAAGAATATTATATTTAATAATTAGTTAATTAGACAATAGTAAATAATAATTTATATATAATATTAATATTTTAACTATTATAGCATCTCTAACAAAAGTATTTACAATAATTAACTTACATGATGTTTTATATCACATATAGGTTTCATTACAAAATTTACAATTGTAATTAGTGATCATCAATCACATGAACCATCAAGCCAACCATATTTCCATTTTTGATTAACAAGTTTACAATCAAATTCTGGTTTTCCAAGTTTTCTATTTACCTCATTATGTATCTTACAAAGCCATTGGCTCAACTGTTCCTGTGAATTAGTTTCTGGTGGGGAATGTTTTAATTGTTCCTGTAAATCTTCTGCACATACATTGCAAGGGTAAAACTTAGAAAATATATGAAAAAACTGTTTCATATCTGACTTTTGTTCTTCACTTGGATTATTAGGATAATATGCTGCCATAGTATGTAAAAATGACCATGTTACTGAACCTAATTCATCTTTATCTAATGGACAATCATTACGTTTCACTTTATTTACAGATGGATTTTTCTTTTTCTTTTCCTCAGATTCCTGGCAAAATGAAATATATTTGAAAATTGTATTATGAGAATTGTACAATAACTTAAATGTAATATTTTTGACCTTTTAAAATATTTAATATTTATTATTAACTTAAATTATTATTAATTTAGAATATTGTTTACATAATGATATATTTTTTAATAAATATGAAATTAAAAATAGTTTTTTTATTAAAAAAAAAAACTGTGACAGAATAATAGATAATTTTATTTTCTTATACCTTTTCGGATTCCAAAGTCTTTCTTTGACTTTTTGCCCATGATTTAAAATCCATACATGCACGACAAGGTTTTTCGTTAGACATTCTATTGCTAAAGTTGAAGTATACATTCGTAAATATGTTTAAAAATTGTTGTAATTAACAATATTTCCACGTGGAAGATAACCTCTTTTATGAAAATGATTCGTTCACCTGTTATATTGAAAAGTTAACATAAATATTTCACATCGTATCACATCATATTCGATTTAATAATAAATATTTATTAAATCACGATTCAAATTCATTATAAGTTTTTTAATAGCTAATTTTCTTTGAATACTGATATATGACATATATATAAATAAATACCTTTATATATAACAACTTGCAACTCATTTCAGTTAAGAAATGTAATAATAACGTTATAGTATTACGAAACACAAAAGATATGGAGAGAAAAGCTCAAAACATGCACTGTTCCTACATTCACGTTGAGTGATGAAAAAGAAGAAAAAATTGCGTACAACTAACCTGACCTGATTGCAGTCAACGAGTGACAAATGTTAAGTGCAGTTTTGACTGCACCGCAAATGATACGATTGTCGGTAAAGTTGATCTTCTGCATAGATGATGGCGAATCGTAAAAAAAGTAATGATTCGTCTCGATCCGTACCAAAATATCCAAGGCGTAATATCATATTTTCATCATCTTCATCTTCTGAAGAAGAGGTAACAACGGGATGTCGAAGTTGTAGAAACACATCGAAAGAATACTTTGCTAGGAATCGTATTGGGACAGAATCCCAAACAGGTTAGATTTAACCTGCTATTTGTTAATAAAATTAAGCTGATAATTAGCTTAATATTTTTTGTTTTTTAATTTTTCACAGGACAAAATACATCAAGAATCGAAGAAAATCCTTTTAGTTTTAAGCATTTTCTAAAAAATGGTTCACAAGTAAATTATCAGAATGCTGGAGCTCGTCCAAAAGTTTATACTTCTCCAACACCATATAATTTAGAAAAAGGTTCTACTGTTTATTCTCGTAACCCAACAGAATTACCAGATTTTGTACAAGATCACTTGGTTGTAGAGCAATATTATCTAAATCATGAGCCCAAACAACAAACTATCTCAGATGTAGATAATCTTCCTGATTTTGCATTAAACAGTGTAGAACAAAGACAAACTCGACTCAGAAGTGAATCAAAGAAAAATGAGTCTAGTACTTCATGTGATCTTTCTTTTGATTTAACTGGAAATTTGGACAAAGCAATACTTCAAAGAAATCGATCTGTACCAAATACAAGTTGTTCCTCTCATTTAAATTTACCTGTTTTTGTTAGATCTAATATAGGACCTACTGAAAATCCAGAACCATTAGGTATTTAAATGATATATTGTTATATGATTTAAGTAATTTTTATAAATTTAAATTTTTTATTTATAATCTTTCATTATTTAGGATTTCCATTAGATTTACCAATATCTACAACTGAACCTGATTCTGAATCAAATGTTGCAGTAAGAGACTGTTCTCACTCAGGAGCAAATGAAGCAAATGTTCCAAAATCTTTACCAGATTTTTTAAATGATGGTCCTATTCATAATAGAACAGCATTGTCAACAGAATCTGGATCTATACCAAATAGTATAGAATCCACAGAAAGGAGGGTATGAATGAAATTAAATATTAAATTATAATACATTCATTATAATATTTATAATTATAACATTATAAATATATATAATATTCATAAATATTTTTCAGTTATTGTTAGAAAATGAAAGATTACGACAGGAATTAGAATTAGCTCAAAAACAAATTAATGAAAAATCACAGAGGTAAATTTTTTAAATTCTTATAATTTTTTTAAGTCTTTTAATAATAGAATATATTCTCTTCTTTATGTGTACATGTTTATTACAGAATTCAATTACTAGAATTAGAATTGACATCTAAAAAAGAAGTGGATCATGAAGAAACAATTCATCTTGAAAAAGCTATGGAACAAGTTGAAGATAATTTAAAACGTAGTACAGTGAGTATAAGAATATTTTTTATATTTAATCAATGTCCATAATTATAACTTTTTTTTATAGAAAAGAGCGGTAAATGCAGAAAGTACTATTTCATCAATGAAAAAAGAAATTAAATCTTTAACGGTTAGTATAAATTTTTGTCACTTTTGAAATATATATATTATATATATTATATATATTATATATATATATATTTATATATTATATTATATATATATATTTATATATAGTGTATTTAATTATAAAATGATAAAATGTCTCAATTCAGACGGAAATATCGTTACTCCGATTAGAAAACAAAGAACTTAGAGCTGGAATTGCAGCAGGAAATAGAAGTGAATATAGTTCTTCAAATATAGATCAAACAGTAAGAAGGCTAGCTGGTGATTTAAGACATGCTGCTTCATCAGCTGAAGTATCCTTAAGGTAAAGATTGATATTTGATTTTGAAATTCCTAAATTATATAATTTATATTATAATATATAAATTTAAAATTTATAGACAATTAATGTCTGGTGTGGACAATTTAAGAGTACTAGCTTCAGCACTTGAAAATGTGGATAGGATAGAAGACCGGACCAAAGATTTTCTACCAGATTTTGACGAAGATAATGCTGCTGGTCCTGCACTTTAATACATTCTTGTGTACTTCTTTTTCTGCATATTACCCTTATTTGACTTCTATGACATGTATCCCAGCCTGTGCTAAAAAGTTCCTTGAACTCACGCAATTGCGTTGTTGCGAGTACCCATTTTGGAGTCAATTAGTGATTTGATTCGATTGAAAAACACGATATTTACATCATGTTTGTTGTATCTTTATATATTAATAATAACTCTTCAATTTTGACTTACATAACAATTCTAAGTGTATTATATATCACCCATTTTGGCAAAGCATATCCTTTTAAATGTAATTTTAATCCATAGCAACAAACATGAATAAAATAATAGCTTAAATGTGATTTATCACGATGTGACTCCAAGCAAAAAAACTGATTTTAACTTTTATATGTATGTTTTGATGTGAAGCCATAACATAAAGCACTGGTTGGGATTCAGTACATAATTCCAACGCAATTAAAAAAAAAAAAAAAAAAAAAGAAAAAAACAATATTTTAATAGTTATTGTAACAATGTTACGTGTACAGTTTCAGATTACATGTTCAATTTCTTTGTAAATGTTGAAACTATCAGTTAAACAATTACATTTAAAGCAAAAGATTCTTCATGTATTTTTCTATTTAAGGGGGTACATGACTCTTGAGTCTCAGAAACATGAATCTCCTAATGAATAAGATTGTAATTACGATTGACAAATGTTTTTCTAAACAATGTATAATAATAATACATATATATACAAACAAATTAAATTTTTGAAAATTGCCTTTGTACGAAAGTTGATATACAAATGATTACAAATATTTAAATCTAAAAATCATACATCTATTTAAATACATTAAAAGTTAAAAATCATGTATTTATAATATAATAACACAATATTTTGTTTTCATAATACATTAACAATCATAAACATTTTAAAACTTGTGGATCAATATTTATAAAAATATTTTATTATCAATTTTAATAATTTATTTTGAGCTGCAATAATTTAATTATTATTATCTCAAATACCTTTTCATTAAATTCATTAATTTAATTATTTATTTAAAATTAGATTACGTTTGATTTAAAAAAAAATTTCAAGGCTTATTTGCCCCCTTAAAATTTAAATTGAAAATTAATAATATTTTTTCCATTATGAGGATCTTAAATTAATATTTTAATAAGTTACATGTAACTACATTGCCTGCAATGTGTATGATTTTATTCTGGAAACATATGTATAAACAATACATATTTTAAAATTATGGCAGTGTGGATACTGTATAATACAGTAAATTTAAAATATTCTTTTTAAGAAAATGCAGTTCTCAATCAATGCACGTAATATTTCATTAACAAATTGCACATATACAGGAACTTAAATACATATAATTAGTTTGTAATAAAATATAAAAAATACCAAAGTACTAAATAACAATACGAAAAATTAGTCTTATTTTACAATACCAAATGCAAATTACTTAAATATCAATTGTTATATCACCATCTGCACAAAAATTAAATACTTTATTATTGAAGACTTTCAAAAATACTAAGTAAATCAGTTTGTGTTTCAGTATGACTAGTTTGAGTACTCAACCATGAACGACATGCACCTATTGAAATATTGCAACCTGTTTCACATATCAAAGATTTTGTTTGTGTTTCAGCAGAAACAGTAGTATCTTCAAGTTGAGTCCAAGGTGTTTGTGTTTGAATATTAGATAATCCTAGATCAGTTGGTAATATTTCATCGCAAGTTTGCGTGCATGTATTATTGTATAATAACTGTTCCATGTTATCAATATTATTTGTAGTTTGTGTTTCAATAGAACTTAAAGCAAATGATCTAGTTAAAGGATCTGAATCAAAAAATGAATAAGCTTGTTCTGTTTGAGTTTCTATACTGCTAAATTTGTCATCAAAAGTTTTGTCTGTAAGCATTGGATCTGATCGTGATATACTATCTGAAGATACAAAGGAATATCCTTCAACATTCGATGTTTCTTCAACATAAGGTAAAGTCATTAAAGCAACTGTACTCTTTGGAGTACACTGCATTAATGGATTTGTATGTTCATAAAATGTTTCAAATTCTGTTTGAGTAACATTATCATTTAGAACTTCAAACATGTCTTTTTCAGGTATTGTTTGAGTACCTGATGTACTCTTTTCTTCCCAAAAATCTTGTAATCCATCATCATGACGAAGTGGTAATGGACTACCAGGAAATAAATTTGCAGTTGTAAAATTGCCAAGATTAAGGTCTTCCTTTAACAGTGTATAATCAGAATTTTGAGATACAGAATTTCTTCCATGTTTTTGAAGTTTCAATGCATTCTTAAATGCTTGTGAAGCTTGTGTAGTTTGTGTTTCCATGGATATTAAATTTTGTTTAACTTTTTGGAAAATACTTGTCTGCGTTTGTTTAGATATTCCACGTTTTCCATTATGATAATAACTATTGTTAATATGTTTTAATGGACTTGATATTCTTTTATTCTTTTTATATTCATCAGTTTGTATACCAATATCTAATGTTAATTTCTGTATGGAACCATTATTATCTGATATTCTATTTTCATTTTGATTTGTTGGTAGTATTGTAATTAGTTTATTTATTTCTGTTTGACTAGTTGGTAAAATCAATCTCATTGCTTTAGAATTTGTGCGTCTGTAAAATTGTTGATTAATATAAATTAATACTATTATATTTATATGTATAAAAAAATAAAATAATAATATATTAATATTTATTTTTGATGATTAATTTACCTTAAAAAATTTTTATATTTATCATCTATAGTATGTAATGATCGTTTTGCATGTGTAAGCAAGGCTTCATAAGAAGTGTAAGTTTTTAAACAAGAACATATGAACTCAATTCCACATATTCTCATATGTCCTTCCTTTGCTGCTTCAGTAGAAAAACTTTTGTCACAACGAGTACATGCATATGTTTTTTTTGCATGTACTTTAAGGTAATGCTAAATATATATATATCAAAATATTAAATTTTATGTCATAATTGAAATATTTGATAAAAGATATTTTTTCATGACAATACTAACCTGTTTAAGATATTTCATAGTACTAAAATGTCTTTCTGCTTTTGGAGCATAAATACACGATTCTACCGGACAATGATATTGTACATTTTCTTTTATCGCTTTATCTAAATTTTTACGCTGATGTACTTTAAGGTCATGTAACCGATATCGCGGTTCATTTTTAAATACGAGCCCACATTTTTCGCATTTTATATTATTCGTTATTATGCTAAGTTGCTCCGCTGATGGACAGATAGTTTTGATACATTTTGATATATTATTTTGTACGGGTTTAATTTTTTCCATTAGAGGTTATTTTTCCGCGACACTTAAACATGTATACAAACTACCGCCGTTAAGTGGCTAATTCAATGTTCAATCAATTCAAAGATAGGTGCATTTGTTTATAATTTTTTGCATTACAATGCCACCCTGTTTTTCATTAAATTATTATTAAAATTTTTATAATTGAAATATGAAATTTTACTAATTTAATAAATTTTTCTATTTTGAAAATTTGAAATATTTTAATATAATGATAATTTTATAAACAATTGATAGAAATGAATGCAACAAATGATATATGCATATTTAGAAATATTTTGAAGTTTTGATTATTTTATTATATTTCATTATCAATTTTTAACTTGATAATCACATTATGTTTTATTATATTTCAAATAAAAAAAAAAATAAGATTAAATATATTTATATTCTATATAAAATTCTTTTTAACCAACTAAAAAAGTATTTTATTGTAGTGTAGATTATTGTTAAGCATTAATAAATTATATGATCCAATTAAATATAATATTATATATATTATATCAATGTGATAAGCGGGAAAATTAAATAACCAATTCTATCGTTTCACTTGCATTCTATGTATATTTCTATGTAATTCTATGAATATTTTTTGTTTTCCAAATGTCACTATTATGTTTTAAAATATTTTTAGCCTAATCAGTAAATCTTTATTAATTAGATTTAGCATCAATAATTATAGATATTAAATTGTCATGTATTGTATTTAACTCACGTAATGAAAAACTAAGAAATAAGAGTCTAAAATTATATTCATGTTTTTTATTGGACAATATACTTAATATTGATTTTTTAATTCATGTGAATAATATTGAAATTATTCTATATTTAACATTACAAGTGATTGTATATACATAATTATCAATATATTATTTTATTTTATACACGTTGAAAACATAAATACATTGCAGTATAATTAAATATTCGGCAGAAATATACGAATTTGGAAGTGTAGCAACTTAAGGTCGTCGTACGCTGGATCGACACAATTTGTTCTACTTTTATCACATAACAAGGTATGAATGTATATGTGTATGATACATATGCACATTTATATAGCTGCATTTTGAGCACAGTACCAACAGGGTACGGTAAGTAGCGCTGCTCGTTCTCGCTACTTCTTGTCACTTTGTCATTCAATACTTATACATCAATCGAACATTGTGTTTGTAGTGATCTTTTTCTATAAATATACAAATAATTTCTTATTGAAGACAAAACTATTAATTCAATCGAAACGAAGCTTCAAAAGCAATATAATTATCTGGAATTAGTAATTTATGAGCAATTTATTATGTGTTTCACTTGCCAACATATCGGGACTAGATCCTTCGACATGCCTCGGATATTAAAAGGATTTTGCAATCCTTAAGGATAAGATACGTTTGTACGTATTTATTTATCTTTTTATTCATATTTTTGAAAATATAATGATTTATATTCGTTTATGTGTACTCACTTAAAAGGAACCTCTATTATCGATTTGTAATAATACTGTGTAGTTATATGCTTGTTTGATTATACATTACTTAAATTCATTATATCAAATGAAATGAAACAATTCAATTTTATTTCAATCAATTATCAATGTATTTCAATAACAGATAAAATCATACACATTTTTTATCTAGTTTTTATTATTTTTTATTAAATAATCAGAAAATTTTTATTTAATATTTTATTTTATTTTATAATACCACGTGTATAATATTCATTAAAAGTTGCAATGTTTTTCTCGAAACTAAATATTATATTAATTTATTTATCGAATAATAGGTTATTTTGATTACTATATCACATTAATTATGTATAATTAATATTATTCCTTTTGATAAATATTATTTAAATTAATTTTATAATGTAAATCAAATTAAGTATTTAATGTTCTTATGTAAAATAATCATAAGAATACTATCTCTACTTTTTTTTTAGGAAATCGATATTATCTTTAGTTTAATTTGAAAGTAGATTAGTAGCAATTGTAATTATTTTTTTTCATTTTTTTTTAGATCAATTTTTGATTGAAAAGAGTATTTAAAATAACATTTTAATTGCTTATTAGAAATAAAATTATAATGAATAATATTATAATTGTATAATAATAATATATTCAAAAAAAGTATCGATATCGCAATAATAATAGTTTTAGATTTTTTAATGAAACTAATATTTAAAATTAGTCATATTCATATATTATATCAATTATACAATAATCGAAATTCTTCGAATTTATCAATTTTTTCAATAATTTATCTAGACTTATTATATATTATATATTTCAATAAATTTATAAAAATAATAATTTTTTTTTACTATTTTTTTGAATATATATTTGAATTAAAAGTCGTTAGAAATTTATTTAATTGACCTTCACGTAAATGAAAATTAGCAGTATTTAATTTCTATATAAACATAATATAATATACATCAATATATGTACATATATATTTTATGTTATTACATTTTAACAGGAATTTATTTGGATCATGAACTGTATGTTCGTTTTTTTTGAAATTCTAAAACTGGACTGATAATTTATTATTCAAAATATCATATTTTATTCAAAATATCGTAAAATCCTGTCGTAACAGAAATTTAATATTACAATAAGCAACGAATATAATTGTAACTTTATATTTGCCAATTAAAAAGTTCATATATTTAAAAAGGAAGAACGAAACGTTGCTTAGAAGAAATGAAAGACACAGCAAGTAATAAATACGAAAAACTTTTCGAAGATAATGAACTTGATACTGCTGCAGCTACTGACAAGGAACATAATAAAAATGCACCGGTAAAAGAGGTAAAAATAATTTTAAATTATTATATAATTATTCGAGTACTAAATACTCATACAATTTTTTTTGACTATTTAACAATAATAATAATCAATTGAATTTAAGACTCATAAGTAAGTTAAAGTGATTATAAAAGCCGTATAAATTATAAAATAAATAAATATTATATTATACGCATATTATATGCGTATGTATATATATATATATATTACTTAGTGTGAAAAGTTTATTGCAATTGTACTGTCTTCAAATGTTTCGGTATCGATCGAATGCTTATTCTACCAATAGTATCTAGTGGGACTGATATTGTTATGATTTTATTTATAAATAAAATTTTGTTTTGTTAATATAATATCTATATGTCAAAAATTTTTTTATTCTATTGAATATATATGTACATGCTATACAGTGTTTCGAAAAGTATACAAAAGTGTAGACAGGAAATTTTCTAAATATGTTGACTTAACTAAGGTAATAAGTGTAGCAATATGACCTTGTGCATTCTAAGGAAAACGGATCGATAATCAGTAGAATGAGAAATATTTGCAATTTATAGAATATTTTGAAATTAATGTTGTATAAATTTTTTTATAAAAAATAATTAAAATTACATTATTTTTGCGAATTCTATTTCATATTAATAATTTTTATAGCATATACAATATAAATTTTATTTATCGATTTAGAATTCAATAATTCTTTGAATGATTTTTTGAATTGGTTTTTTGAATACAATCAATAAAGATAGAAGATTATAAATTAATAAATTAAAAAGTTGCTATAATTAAAAGTAAAAAATAAAAAATTAAAAAATATTTAAATTATACTTTTATTTTAATTTAGATAACTTATAATTATATTTATATAATGTTGTAAAAAAAAAGAAAGATTTTTATTTATTTTCTGTTTTATTGCACAAATTCAAGATATATTCGAACTCATATCGTAATTTTTAACAATTTATCAATTTCTCAATATTTTATAAATTTTATCAAGCGTAAAATTTATAAAAATTTGTTAATGTTTCTTTAGAGAGAAATAAAATTATTTTTGAAAAAATATTTCTTAAATATTAGTAATAATTTTTTTATGTTTATAGAAATTTTTATATTTAATAATAATTTTTATATTTATAGAAATATCTTGTTATAATCTCATTACATCACTCGATATAAGATAATACTAATACACGTGTCATGGTACATGTACATGTAATGTGACATTAAATGATATTTTATTTTATATTTATAAAATGTGAATAAATTGATTAATTTATTATGTATAATTATTATGTATAGTCAAAAGCAAAATATTATTAAAATTAATCTGTACATTTTTAATATTGAATATATTGATGAGTTGTTATTTGATAAGTTGTAAAAATGTGAAAGATTTTTAGATAGATTTAATAATGTATCATGAATATTGTAAATATATATCGAAATTTTTTAAAGTAAATATTGAAAAATAATGCATTTAATTTTACTAATATTGTTGTCTATTGTTTTAAAATGAATGAAAGTTCTTGATAAAGGTTAGGAATTCATTTTTATATATATCTTAAAAATTAATGACGAAAAACGGAGAGATTATTGTTTAAAAAAATTGTTATTTTAATTTTTTAAGGATAAAGATCAAACTTCAGTAATGTGGTTAACAACAGCTGAAGCAGCCAGTCTTGGTGCTGAAGAAGTTGCAGCTAGATTGCATGTTGATATAAGAACAGGTCTTTGGTGGCAAGAGGCAGACCACCGAAAACAATTAGTTGGATTTAATGAATTTAGTGTTAAGGAACAAGAACCAACATGGAAAAAATATCTTGAACAGGTAGAAATATTTGTATATCTATTTGTTATCTTTATATATTAATATTAACTTATGTAATTAAATATTTTTTTCTTTTTTTTTTTTTTTTAGTTTAAAAATCCTCTAATTCTGTTACTTCTTGCTTCTGCCTTTGTTAGTGTATGTATGAGGCAGTTTGATGATGCTGTCAGTATTACAGTGGTAAGTATTTTATGATAATTTTATTATTAATTAGTTTTTAAATTATTTTTTAATAGACATTATATTAATAAATTACATATTTTCTTAGGCTATCATAATAGTAGTGACAGTTGCATTTGTACAAGAATACCGTTCTGAAAAATCCTTAGAAGAATTAAATAAATTGGTGCCACCAACTTGTCACTGGTAAGTAAATTTTGATTATTTATTAAATACTTATTAGATAAAAGTTATGTCAAGTATAATTAAAAATTGTTGGTAGCATTTATTTAAATTAATATTTCTCCTAGAAATATGGTCTTTGGAGGATATATTAACCCTTTGTATGGAGTATTACTTTACTTTCTTAAAAAAGAAGATGTAGTATCCAATTCCAATCAATAGATCAATAAGGTGAAATTTCTTTCCCTGCAACATTTATTTAAAATATTCAATTTTAAAGATGCACAGTTCTAGGTTGAGGATGGAAGTTAGACCTATTTATTGTTTTAATATATTAGAATATTTTAATGTTAAACAATTTTAATGGTAATATAATGTTTTTAATATTTTTTTACAGTTTACGAGAAAGCCGCGTAGAAACATTTCTTGCTCGCAATTTAGTTCCTGGTGATGTAGTTTATTTAAATATTGGTGATAGAGTACCTGCAGATGTCAGGATATTTGAAGCAATAGATTTAGCAATTGATGAAAGTAGTTTTACTGGAGAAACTGAACCAGCACAAAAGTCAACAGCTCCATTACTTAAAACTAATGGATTGACAACAAAAAGGAATATTGCATTTATGGGTACATTAGTACGTTGTGGTAATGGAAAAGTAAGTTCTATTATGACAAATTTCAGTATTTATAATGTCTAAAATAATTTATAAATATATAAAAAATATTCTGTAGGGTATAGTAGTAAATACAGGAGAAAAAAGTGAATTTGGAGAAGTTTTTTCAATGATGCAAGCAGAAGAAGCTCCAAAAACACCACTTCAAAGAAGTATGCATATTTTGGGCACTCAATTATCTTTTTATTCATTTTGCATTATTGGTATTATTATGCTTCTTGGCTGGATCCAAGGCAAAGCTTTACTTGAAATGCTTACTATCAGTGTAAGTTTGGCAGTAGCAGCTATACCAGAGGGTTTGCCTATTGTTGTGACTGTAACTTTAGCATTGGGTGTTATGAGAATGGTTAAGAGAAAAGCCATTGTAAAGAAATTACCAACAGTAGAAACACTCGGTATGAATATGTACAATACAGTTATATAATGTTTATCAAATTTAATCAAAATATGTAATTATTATGTTATTAAATGTATAGGTTGCGTAAATGTGATATGCTCCGATAAAACAGGTACCATTACAAAAAATGAAATGACTGCAACAATTTTAGTGACATCAGAAGGATATATAGCTGATATTACTGGAACTGGTTATAATGATAAAGGAGACGTACGAATTCGAAAATGTGATAATATGAATCTTGCACGCAATGCTATTAGTAATATGTTGGAAGTAGGATGTGTTTGCAATAATGCTATAATACAAAATGATACTTTACTTGGTCAGCCAACAGAAGGTGCATTAATAGCATTAGCAATGAAATATGGAATGTATGGAATTTCTGATAAGTATTTGCGATTACAAGAATATCCATTTTCATCTGAGCAAAAAATGATGGCTGTGAAGTGTACACCGAAATATGGAGAAGTAAAATACATTTCTTAATTATTTTTAATTAAATATTAATATCACTTATTAAAAATTAATATTTATTACATTCTATATGTATTTTTTCATATGTGTTATAGAATAAGCAAGAAATATATTTTGTAAAAGGTGCTTTGGATAAGATATTACCGCTATGTACTAAATATTCTGTCAATGGTCAAGAATACTCTTTGAATCAAAAAAAAGATGAAGAATTTTTAACAGAAGCTTATGAAATTGGGCAGCAGGGATTAAGAGGTATATTTTAATATTGATGATAATTTTAATTCTTTTATCTAATATTTTTTAATATATTTACAGTAATTGGATTAGCACGTGGAAAATCATTACAAGATTTAATGTATGTTGGTCTCATTGGTATATGCGATCCTCCACGACCACACGTTCGTGAATCTATAACGACTTTGATAAATAGCGGTGTTAAAGTTAAAATGGTTACAGGTGATGCTAAAGAAACTGCATCTGCAATAGGTATACGAATTCATCGAATTTTTCACAGTTCATAAAAATATATGAAGATTATTACATTGTATTTATTTTAGCAAGTATGATTGGATTAGATGTACTTCATTCACGGCTAATTTCTGGAGATGAAATTGATTTGATGTCCGAACATCAATTAGAACAATGTATCAATAACGTTAGTGTATTTTATCGGGTCACACCTAAACATAAATTGGCTATTGTAAAAGCTTTACAAAGGGAAGGAAATATAGTAGGTATGACGGGTGATGGCGTTAATGATGGTGTTGCTTTAAAAAAAGCAGATATAGGCATAGCAATGGGTAAAAATGGTACTGATGTTTGTAAAGAAGCTGCAGACATGATTTTAGTGGATGATGATTTTGAAACTATCATGTAAATATTAATTTTTTCTTTATTAATTCCCAATATTTTTTATATTTATTCATTTTTAATTGTGAACATATGTTATAGTGCTGCAATTGAAGAAGGAAAAGGAATTTTTCATAATATACGAAATTTTTTAAGATTTCAATTGAGTACTAGTATAGCTGCTCTATCTTTAATTGCACTTGCTACTTTAATGGGTATTGCAAATCCTTTAAATGCAATGCAAATTCTTTGGATAAATATTATTATGGATGGACCACCTGCTCAAAGGTAATCTAAGAATGATAAAATTTTTTTAANTATAGTCTTGGTGTTGAACCAGTTGATAAAGATGTGTTAAAACAGAAACCACGTAATATAAAAGAACCAATGATTACGCGACATCTTATTATTAATGTACTATTATCAGCTACTATTATTATTATTGGTACTTTATGGGTTTATAATAAAGAGGTAAATTTTATAATAAAAAGTATTAATTTTTTATAAATTTTCTAATTCTATGTTTTTTTGTATTTTATTTCTATTAGATGAGAACTGATGGTAATACTGCAAGAGATACAACCATGACATTTACATGTTTTGTTTTTTTTGATATGTTCAATGCTCTAAGTTGCAGATCACAGGTAAAAAATAATAAAATTATGCAATATTACAATATATATTTTTCATTTATTAAATATAATATAAACATTTTAGACTAAATCAATATTTACTATTGGTTTATGGAGTAATAAAATGTTCCTGGTAGCCGTAGCATTATCAGTAATAGGACAGATGTTAGTGATCTATTTTCCACCTTTACAACGAGTTTTTCAAACTGAAGCTCTTTCAGCTATAGGTATGCATTTTATTAAGATAAATCTTTAAAATTTATTATTTTTAAATTTGAATTTTTAAAATATTTCTTTCTATAATTTTGATAGATATCTTGTTTCTCGTCGCACTTACATCAAGTGTTTTCATAATTAGCGAGATAAAGAAATTTATAGAGAGACAACTATTCAGACGGCGAGCAGGTACACAATATTATAATAAATCTGAAATGGATTTTGTATGACAGTTACAGTCTGCCGAAGATAAGGCGGACAAGGATCATTTGGAATAAAATACCCAACACACATTATGCGGGTAGTAGATTGGTTTATCAACATTATCTCGATATACTCGATTATGCTTATATACTTGTAAACTTGTATATGCACTTATCACGAAACAAACATTTGTGCATCTAATCAAGCGCGTTTAACTAAGATTTAAAATGACTGCGTTTTTTAATCTTTGCAAATTTTTCTGACTTTTCTGATGTACGATATCAGATTTTTAGACTTAGAATTTAACCATTTCTCGTCCTTACAATGATTGTATTAGACATGTCATAGATTCTAGAAATGCTATGCACATTCCACTAATTTTTCGTAGACGATCGATTTTAATATTACTCATAATCGTATTTATAGTAATTTTTGTCTTGATTAATCATAATATTCTAATATATAACACATTTTTTCATTCATCTTATTGATAAATATCATTAATAAAAATATTTATCTATTAAGATAAATATATTTATTCATTTCTTTCGCGATAATTATAAATCGCAGTGTCTAATAATAAAAATAATAATCCGTGAAGAAGAAACATATATTTACGACATAATTAAGCATATCGATCGATTGCATTTAAAAATACAATTGGTTATAATTAAAAGAATAAACAATCTTGTAATGTTCTTTAATTCCATAACATAATTCGATATGTTCCTGATGACAAGAAAAAATATAATTATAATAAAAAATTGAAAATGTATAATATATTATTATTACTTAACAATTATTATAATATAAAATACAATTATTTTCTTGTAATCGGAAACAAAATCGTCTACGTATTATGTCACATCATTTCACAAATGATCATTAATTTTTAATTTGTTCATGTATAATTTATAATTTAGTGTTTCTTGTTGTTTTAATTTTAATGGATACCTTCGAGACCACTATAAGTTTTGTATTGATATAATTCTGGTCCTCCATAGCCATAGAGTAATTTTCCTCTGCCATTTTCATCATAATATGGATAGCGATATTTAGGCCTGTGAATCAGGTATTTATTACAATCTTGTAATTTTTTTTTTTTTCAAAAAATTATGTTTCATGGTTTTAAATAATTATTTTCTTAATATATTTATTAATACATTTTATATCAATTTAACTTGTATATTAATTGTAATATTTAACATGTATATAAGGAATTTATAATCTTTTTTATAATTGTTGTGTAACAAATTACTATTTTCACTTCATTTTTTATATACTTTAAACATAACTTTATACTTTTTGTATATTTTTTAATTTCTTACCGTTCAAAATACTGAAAATTAGGTGCCTTTGGTTGAGCTATTGTTGCTGTGGTTTCGATGATTAATCCAAATAAAAAAGTGATGGCTATTGCAAAGATCACGGTCGTCCACTGAAAGTAGTTCAATTAATATTAGCATGTCGAAATAAAAAATATATATAAAAAAATGTCCTACATTCAGCATATACTTTAAATGAATCTATTAAATGTTTCATAATAAATAGTACGAAAAAAAAAGAGTATTATTTTATATGACATATATATTATATATTTATATATAGACCAAGAAATAACTTCGAGATTTATTTTATTAGAATTATCATGCTCCTTATATTTTTTTCAATAGATATATAAAATTTTAATTTGATAAATTTTTTATTCTTACATTTATTTTTACTTATTATTATATACTTACATAAGCGTATCTTGTCATTTTAATGATTGCAAGGTGTACACAAATACTTTCAATAGAATGAAAATTCTGAAAAGTCACTAAGTGTAACGCCAAATATACGTATGCTTTTTATTTTGATATTTTTTTCACTGAAGAGAAAAAAACATAAATTATTTTAATTTAAAAAATACGACAGGAAAGATACAACACGACAATCCATACAGTCAGTCTTTGTTTTTCTGATTCCGTCTTTACTTACCTTATTCTGATATCCGTTATAATTTTCCATTCTCTCCCCACTTCATCTTTTATCAAGTGAAAGTCGAACAGGATATTTTGTACTTTGCACCTCTTGGAGTTACTATGATGCAATTTTAGAAATAAAATTTATTTTAAAATTTATCGAAAATTGTAAATTATTGAAAAAGTTGAAAAAAGAATAATTATAGATTTTTAAATAAAATATAATTAATCCTTAAACAATATCGATTTGAATTAATATGTAAAATTATGAATATATCTATATATATATTGTTTCTGAATTTAAAAAAAAAATAGTCCGTGTATAACATGGACAAAAAAGTAATTAAAAAATATATCAAAATGAAATATATGTAACATTATTTAATATATATACAATACATAATTTATTTAAGATATCATCCAATTTATTTAATAAAAATATTTTTACATTTATTTTTTTATAAATTATTTTTTTGTACAATTAATTTAAGAATTTTACATATACTAAGATAATTTTTATTGGTTTTTTACAGATTAGGAGTTTTTTATCAGTTTTTGTGCAGGCTCTGCCCATGGTTCTTTGTATCCGATTCCCATACCTAACTTCGCTATTGCAAATTCTCCATGATGACCATTTTCCTGCTCGTATCTAATTCGTCTTTGCTTTCCAATTTCTGGATCGAAATCCCACTGTGTTTTCTGTGTAATGATTATTATAATTATTGATTTAATGCAAGTAAATTTTATATATTTATTATATATTTATTATATATAATATATATTATATATATTATATATATAATATATATTTATTATATATTATTTTTATATTCTTTTTCTTTTTTTAAAAAAATTTTAAAATAGCAATTTTCTGTTTCACAGAATATTAAACTTACCTCGTGGAAAAGTGGTATTCCTGCTATGTTATATTGAAGAAAATCATGAATAAATAAGTATATGTTGAATGCATCTGATACGTTTTTATTAGTGTTAAACAATAGAACAAGAAAAATCGAAATTACCTATAACGTAGAAAAATTTATCAGTGTAATTTAATTTTAATATACATAGAATAATATATATATATATATATATATATATATATATATATTGAATATATTTAATAAATATAATAATCTTTTAAAATTGCATATATGAATGTAAAGTTCATAATATTTATTTGCGTATATGTATGTATATTTTATTATTATTTTAATTATAATTCTTTTTTAAGCTTACTATTACGTTAAATTTTTTGATATTTTTTATTATATATTAGAAAAAAAATATAAAAATAATGAGCGACATACATAAATTTAATCATTCTCAAGCTTATTTATATTACTTACGATTACTTACTTTACTAATTGTAAAACATTTCATACATAAATATAAATTATTCCTTTCTTTTTTAAAGTAAAGTAACATTATATTCAAATGTATAAAAAAATTTCGTTCGTAAGATACTAATTAAATTGAAATCTCAATTTTGCAATGTATTTTCAAAAATCATTCGTTTTGAACATACTATAATTATCTATATAACTTAATAAGGGAAATTACGAAAATTATGCAAAATTATATATTTATGCAAAAGATCAAAAACAAGTAAATTTTTCTGCTATTTATAACTATCAAAAAAAAAATTTCTATTAGCTCTAACTACCAAATTACGTGTGTAGTCCATGTTATTTCTCCTCGAGTTGGTCACGTAGAATCACGTTGTCGGTAACGTGGTACGACGAGAGCGGGATAAGCGTAGAATATCAACTAACTCCGCTTCCAAAGGTGACTATACATATAGAAAAGAAATCATCTGGTATATTGTAGTGATATGGCGTAATGCAATCAGTGAAAGTAAAGAAAACTGATGTCGAACAATGTGGCGCGAATCATTTGAAAAATTATGCTACGTCTTTGCCAACGATTGACAATTCTATCACGAAAAACTTAAAATGTATTCTATACACGAAATTGTCACTCACTCAGAAGACATAAAGGTTGGTGGACACTATGAACAATGGGATTACTTTCTCTGTGTTCCTACGTAGAGGTTTAGTAAAAAAAAAAAAATGCGCACGAGTCACACATTAGCAATATTCTGTGCAGTAAGTGGACTTACGATCATATTTACTGATCATGACATACATTTACCTAAAATTGCGCGATAAAAATCATTTTATTATTCTTTTATTGCATATACAGCTATGCATAATCGTCGAGTGCAGTGGAACTATTTCAACCCGAATTGCTAGAACACTTCCGTTCGATATGTTCCCTTCAAGATGGACAGCTATGCTTCGAACATTGTGGTCTAATGGAAAATTTTGGGAATGGCCAAGAAATGGTGTAGAAACTTTCCTAAGAATTATAGCTTCTCCGGATACTAGAAAAAAAATAATGTTCGAATTTAGACCAGAAGACGGGCCTCGGGCCTCACTTGATTATCAAAGACGTTATGGCTATCGAGGTCAGTGGTTGATCGAATTATTGGGTTCCGGTTTTCATCCAGATGACGTGCCTTATCGACAACCGTTACCTTCTTCCGTATTGGTACCACCACCACCATCTTTTTAATTGTTATGTATCTTATTAATTTATATGGACGAAGAAGGAATGTAAATACAACCAAGGATAATTAAAAAGTGATTAAGTGTATTTTTGAATTAAAAATGAAAAAGTTAAACTGCCCAGATTTTAATATAATCTATGTGTAAACCGATATCGCTCACTCTCCAAGATTTTATCCAATCGTTTTCTGCTAAGTAGAAGTGATAAAGTGCCTACAATCAATAATGTGTTTAAGATGTACGTTCTTATTAAATAATTTTTTTTTTTGCTAAAAAAAAAGTTAAATTGCTTAAATAGAAGTACCTTCGATCCGACATTTCTCCAAGGTTTTACATAGTTACCGCTGATGCAATTGTCTGGAAAGATAATGTGACCTCCTACGGCTAAACCGATATTAATATAAACCTACGAAAAATATAGAACGTATCGTAATAAATCATTTAAAATTGCTAATAATATCAATTATTAATAAATCAATGATGGATTTAAAATAATGTTATTCTATTGTATGAAAGAAAATATCGATGAAAAATGAAATAGAATTAACAAATAATAATTTTAAAATAGTATTTGTCATTTATTATCAGATAATTATTATTAACCGGAATATCGTATAATGCCGGAACATTTTGTTGGCCATATTCTACTCCATCAACTTTAACTATGATTTGATTAGGTTTCCATTCTAAATCGTACACGTGATATTCGTCTGACCATAAAGTTTCTGATTTCTTTTTGGGAAGATTTAATTTATTATCCTGTGGAATATGTGAATTTATATTTGTTGCATGAGCACCCCCTAGAAGAAAATGTCCGCTCAAATCGTTTCCATCTTGTGATATAAGGACAGAATTTCCGTTTGAGTGAACTATTACGATGTCACAATAAATCGATGAATTTTTTGTGCACATATCTGTACTTTCCAAGGTAATCACTGAAATAAAATAACAAATTATTTATTGAAATTTGAATTTATTAAATGATATTGATGATAATGATTCAAAATATATAGAATTATATATTTAATTCATATGTAATAGAAAGTGATTTATATGAAATTTATTATGAAATTTCATTTTTTTTCCTAATCAGAATTAAAAAAAAAATTACATTATTTCTAGCATTTTTTTTATAACTCTAATCAGAAAGGAAACATTATTTGTTTCGATATATATAACAATTTAGAATTATGTGAATAAATAATATAAATGATTATTTACAAAATGTAGAATAAAACTCACAAGGAAATAACCAATCACCACGAGGTAATTTAGCACGAATTTGAATGCGACCATATTGAAAATTAAAGGATGATTTAGTATTTAATCGTCCTGATATCACAGGCGGTATAATATGTGATCCAATTGCAAATCGTTTACATTCTTCGCTTTCAACGATTCCTGTACATCTAAAAAGATGTTAAAGATTTTTAATATGAATATTATTATACTTTGTTGTAATTGATTTTGTAATAAATTTTTACTTTTCCAAAGTCAGACTATTGCTTCGGATAAAGTCTGGTCCATACTTCTCGTTAGTCAAAATTGGTTCAATATGCAAAATACCATCTTTAACTTCCACGTTGTCGATATTATTCATGTATATGACGAATTCATAACTCTAAAATGAAATGATGAAAAAACTGTTTTATTATTGAATTAAATTTTTTATTTTATAACGATATGTTTTTAAAATATGTTCCGTTCTATCTTACAGGAGGACCTGCAAAGCGTTCAAGAATCGTCCAACGTGTTGTATTAAGAGAATCGAAATTCTCTTCAAAAATCAATTGACCTGGGCAGATTTGCCTATTCAGTAATTGATTTATCGAATTATTTTCAAATATTTTAGTTTGCGAAGATGCCGTACAAGTGTCAACCTTTTTTTTAGGAATACTTTTATCTCCTTTCGAAACTGGTGAAGCATCGTAATTATAAAATTCTGAAAGAAAAAATCAATCGATATAATTGTCATACAAAAATCAATTCACCAAAATCGATTTATACAAAAATCATTTCTTTCATTAAACTGACCATTAACTACGTGTTTTTGATCAAGTAGATTATAACCAAGGCCATTATAAACTACGTGAACCCAATAATAAATTATGTCTCCTAATTTCAATTTTGTGGATCGATCCTCATATACCCAACGACCATTACGTGGTTTTATAATGTCTCTGGCAATAGTTCCTGCTTCGAGACTATAGAAATCATCATTAAATTTTACATGATACGCAACCAAACTGATGCCATCCTCATCTAAGTGGAAAAAAATTTTTCTATCGTAAAATTTTTTATGTTTGTAAAAATAATTTAATTATTGAATACTTTAATTATTTTAAACATTAGATTCTTGTATAAATATCTATAAATTATTATATTGTGTTGTTATGCAATAATGTTTTATTTTAATTAATTTTTATAGAATACAATTAGATAAATACAATTACATTGCCGTAAATTAATATACTTTATTACGTATCGAATTCTTTTCTTTGTAAAATTTTATTTTTATTTTCCTTATTTAATTTAGTTTTTATTTTACGTTTACGTAAATAAATTTCAATAAAAATTTTTATTCAATATTTTTCAATATTTAAATAAATAATATTTATAAATATGTTTTAATGAACAAAATAAATATAATTTTTGTATATATTTTTATTCTTCAAAACTAAAATTAACAAATTTTTAAGATTGCAATATTGTATTATAATTATTACTATAATCATACATTATGATGTATCATTTGTATCATTTCTATTTTTCTTTTAAATATTATTTTCTAGGTAAAAAAATTCTATTCACTAAATAGAAATATTTCCTCATTCTTCTCGCTTTCAATGATTATTATTCTTTTTAGTAATAATTTTATTTAAAAAAAAATTAAAATTAAATTCCAAATAGAATAATAGAACTGTAATAAAATAATATTAAAAAAATAAATAAGAAACAACATAAAAGAATTCTACTTACGAGCAATAGACATTCGTAATCCTATCGGATAGAGAGGTTCTACACTTGGTGTTGGAGGAACATATTGTGCAAGATTTTCTTGAATTGCTATGCCAAACAATGAAATAATAATAATAATAAAGCAATTCGTTATGAAAAAAATTTTCATGATGCCCACGTTTAATAATGCTACCGCTAGTTCGAATGATACTGAGAAAGAAGATATCAGTGCAATGTTTTATAAAACAGGTTTCAATATATATATATATATATATAGTTATATTATTAATGTTTATATCTTTCGGAAATAATTCTCTATAGTTTTATTGCGATTCAATTTTTCTTTAATTGATTATGAAAAATATTCATTAACTCGAATAAAAGAAAAATTTTTCATATATTGATTATTTGTCAATGTATTTTTCTTTTTATAAATATTTTTAATAGTTTTATATATCTTATGATCTTGTGTTACATTAAAAAAAGAATTGATTTTTTAAAAAATTAGAAATAATTTTTTATATTTTATCGAATTTTATAATAGAAATTTATTTTGATATTTTATTAATTATTTTATTAATTATTATAAGAGAATAAAGAAATAAATATTATTGATGAATAAAATTATTGATTATTATGTCAATTTTTTGGATTTTCAATTTCTTTTATGAAACAAACAATTGATATAAAATACTATAATAATATATTATTATAGTATTATAATATAATATAATTTGTTTAATTCTTATTTTAAATGGTATAAAGTGAGTTTATATATTTGATAAGTAAACAACAATATAATATGTTGCAATATGGATAAGTTTTCTAGTATTTTATAAAATATAGAGAATCTTTTTAACGAATAAATTATTCATTAATTAAGTAATGAAATGAGTTTTTATCTTTATATATATGATATTACATAATATAATCTTAATGTTATTGATATATGTGAATGACTACTCATAATATTTTCTTACGATTTATGTATTTTTTATTTTTTTCTATGATATTTTTATAACAAAATGTTAATATCTTCATTTGCATCATAACTCTTGCATTTAATTTTAAATATTAATTTCAAACACATTCATCATTTCGTATCACCACATATTAATAAATTTTTTCATTTCAGAAATTTTTCACATTCAGAAAATTATTTAAAAATTACACTTAATAATCAAAACAAAAGTTAGTATTATAAATCTATATAGTAAATACTATATAAATTTATATTAAATACTAGTAAATAATATTTAGAATAAATATTAGATTTTTTATTAGTATAATATATAATATAATAATATTAATTAGTTATTAATAAATAATTTTTAAAATAATCGATTGATACATTGTAAATATCATATTTAAAAATAGTTTTTCTTCTAAGTGATTTAAATAAACATGATCGTTTAGATACATTAGTTTTTTTTCTTTTTGCTATCGTTAAAGTGGGAAAGTACCGGAAAATACCAGTATATCTTGTTATTGAATTATTGATAGAAAATGATAAAAATGTCTCTCTAAATGTCTCTCTTTTTTTAAATTTTTTACAATAATTTCTTCTGTTAGTTTTTATTTATAAATATAAAAACAATATTTTTAATATTTTTAAAAAGAATATAATCATTCAATATTCATTCAAATATTATATTTATAAAATAAAAAAATATTTATTTTTTATATATTTTTGTCGTAATCTATTGTAATTTTAAAATTTTTTCTTCAGTATATCGATTTATTTTTCCTGTTCAGCATAATTTAAATAATCCATTAAATGATAAAATGATAAAATTGTTATAATAATGTACATATAATAATGACATATATATATAACTTTAATAACTTCTTAAATTAATTTTATAAAATTATATTTTTTGCTTATAAATGCTTATCAAGAAGATTTATTGATACTACTTTTAGAAAAATATATTTAATTTTTCAAGTTTCATTTAAACAATATTCATTTAATTTTTTTTCTTTTAAATTGTTATTTCTTTAAAATATTAAATATGTAAAGATTTATAAGACTAAATATATTACGTTAATATAAAAAAAAATAATAAAATCAGATGTAAATAAATAAATATAAATATAGAACAAATTTTGATAATATTGTTTTTAACTATATTAACTATATTATATATATAATATAACTATAATATTGTTTTTAATTATTTCATATTTTAATGTATATTTAATGTTTAATTATAATGAATTATAATTTAATTTACTACATTCTTATGTAGTATTATTTATTACAAAAAAATTATTTATTATTATTATAACTAAAATTATGGAAGATCACAGTAACTTGATATTGAGATATATAATACGAATTATAAAAGAATCATACAGTATATTATAAATCTGTACATTATTTTTTATTCTTACCATCGAATAAAAACTATCGAATTTATTCTACCATCATCACTAGTGAAAATTATAGTGACATAATTTTTTTGTATATGTGTGGTAATACTTTCAATCTTATTTTTGTAAAATATAGTTTTAAAATTTAATTTTTAGATATATTATAATTTATTATCATAAAACATCTATAAAATAAAGATATAAGTCTTATAAATATAGATAAATTATAAAATTAATTATAAAATATTTTAAATATTTATATTTAAATTATAATTATAATATAAATTAAAATTAAATCATTTATCACGCAATGTTTTGTGTACCTCTAGTGATTTGTCTCGTTGAATATAGTATAACCAAATATAATATCAGATAATTTTATAAGTATTGATGCATTACATATAAATGTTTGAAATTATTTAATAATGTAAATAATATATAAAATATGTGTTTATAATGTGTCTTATATGTATATATAAATATTTATATGTTAAAATAAATATCTATTTCATCTATTTCAATGTTAAGTTAATATAACTATGCTTCAAATCATCAATTAAAAAAGCACTTTTAAAAAATTTTTTTTTTAATCATCAAAACATCTGGGTTTAGTTAAAAATAAAAACTAAATATAAATAAATAAATAAAATACTATGAGTGTAAACAAAAATAAGAGAATTGAGACAATTTTAAATGATACAAGTAGTTTCTGTCATCGAAGAAGTTCGCTGAAAGTTAATTTAAGTTGTGTTCCAAATTTATCAGATTCTGGCAATGATTCACTTGAACAAATAGATTTTAGTCATGATGAGGATAATATTCTTTCTTATGGTATTCCTTTTAAAAATATTAATATAGTTTTAGAAAGAATAAGCAAAAACAATGTACAAAATATTTTATCAAAAACAAAAAATAAACAAATATTTAACAAACAAGATGAATTATGTATTAATACAAGCACAATATATGCTAAAAATAAACATCCAAGTAAATTTATAATTGATGAATGTGAAAATACAAAAAAAAATGAATTGTTCTCAAAAATGTCAATTACAAGTAAAATTAAATGTCAGAATGAAAAAAATAATTTAAATCAAAATATTTGTAATACACCAAAAAACAAATATAAAAGAAAAGATATTAAAAAAACAATACAATCAAACAAAAAACAATTTTCTAATGTAAAAAAAAAATTTGTTATAAATACAATTGATAATAGTATTAGCTCAAAATGTTATTCTATAAAACAGCATTCTATACAATTGGAAAAAAAAAATCATAGTAAATATGATGTATTAAAACTAAAAAAAAATAAAATATTTTGTGATTCTAATGAAAAAAAAAATCATAAATCTGATAATTATATTAATTATGAAAATAACTCTCTTATATTAAATATTTCTGAAAGTGAAAATGATTTTATACCAATTGCATGTTCCACAATGATAAATGATAAATTATTAGATATAGAAAAAGAAGAACATTCTAAAAATGCGCATAATTTGCAAAAACAACATGACAGCTATGCATGCCAACTTTCATGTGAAAATTTTAAAGTGATAGGAAATAATAAAAACATAAATCTAGTTGAAACAGATGAATTAAATACAATGCAAACTTCCTTAAATGTCAATACATCTATTGATCAAATAAATGACAATAATAAATATAAAAATAAATCTAAACAGAAAGATTGTGAAAATAAAAAAAGTTTTGAAAATGAACAAAAAGATACACATGCATTAAATTTTAAAACAACACAAGATAGTGTGAATACTGTTTGTACTTCATTACAAATGAACACATCATTAGATACTTCAAAGAGATTACAAAAAAATAATGATGCAATTGATGATATAAATTTAATTAAAAAACAAAAAAGTACTTTTAATTTACAAAATACAAAAAATAATAGTTTTGATGTGCAAAAAACTAATAATTACAAAATACCTTATCAAAATGATGTAATTCTACAAAAAATTCATAATTGTGGTAATATAAATAATACAATCATTTTGCATAATTCATCTTGTAAAATGTCGCACATTGACTCAAAAACATCTATAATCATTAAAGAATCAACTGATGAAAGTAAAATAGAAACAAATCAAAATATGAAATATTCAATGACATCAAATAATAAAAAAAAATGTAAAAAAAAATTATTACCTTTACATGAATCTTCACAATTATTATCATTCTCTCCTGTACAAAATGAAGAATATTCATCTCCTCCATTTTTAATATTTAGAAAAAAACATAAAAAAAATAAAAATGAAGTTAAAAAGATAGTTAATGAAAATAACACAGAAATTGTTAAAAAAAAGAAAAAAAATTATGATGGTAAAAAAAAACAAAAAAAAACAAAAAAAATAGTTAGTAAAAAAATTGTTATTAAAAAAATTGTTAATGAAGATATTTTAAAGAAATTAAGAGAAAATAAAGAAAAAGTTAATAAATTAGAAACAACACATATTTATACTTTAGAAAGAAATTTATCAGGTGATTTTCAACCTACAAAAACATCATCTGTTGTTCAATTTGCAAAAAAAAAACAAATGCACAAATTGAATATTGTTACAACTGGTTTGTCTAATGAGTAAGTAAAAATATTATTTATTCATTATAACTTAGAAAATAATAAATCATATTATTTTTAATCAAAAATAAACATTTATATTTTATTACAAATATATTTTTAATTCTATAATTTCATATTGATTTTATAGAGATAAAGATATAGTGAGAAGTGTTGTTAAAACTCTTGGTTCAGCAAAGATTGAATTAAAAGTTACAAAAAATACAACACATGTAGTAACTACAGGTGTACGTACAATAAATCTGTTACATGGTATTATAAGAGGCTGTTGGTTAGTTAGTTTTGAATGGATCTTAAAATCTTTAGAAAACAATACATGGCTAAATCCAGAAAAATATGAAATGACACATTTTTCAAAAGCAGTTTTGGTAAATAAAATATAAAATCATTAAAATGTATAATGTCTCAGATAAAAGAAATTATTTTAAATATTTACTTTTTCTTTTCTTTTATTATTTATTACTTCAATATTTTATTAATATTTTTTTTAAATTATTTAAATTATGCCATAAATATTCTGTACATGAAAAAAAAGAATTATTAGTATTTAAGTGGCCTCTTTCAGCTGAGACAAACTATATAACATATATATTTATATCTTATACATTATGCTATAAAATAAATTATTATTTTATATTTTTATATAATTTTTTAGGAAAATCGTAAAGATAGGCAACTATTTGGAAAATCCTATGTTCCAGAATTATTTACTGCTTGTGGATGCATATACATTGAAAAAAATACAACACCACCTTATAATGTATTAAAAGATCTCATAAAAGCTGCTGGTGGTTGTATTACTGAAAATCCAGAAACAGCAAAAATTATAATTGGTGTTGAAGGTTTAAAAGAAACTTGGATTTTAGATTGTATCACATCAGGTGAATTACAGCCACATAATCAATACCAACGATTATAAATATTAATTTAAATATTATGATATTTTTAAAATAATGAATATCGAAAGCAAATATCAGTTGAAACATAAATATATGTATAAATTTATATATCACATATATAAATAAAAAGAAAAATATTGTAAATATAAATATATTATGATATATATTTAATATATATATATATATATATATATATATATGATAATGTCTAAGAACATATATCTACTAAACAGAACATTGTTTATTTATTTATATAATAATTATTTATATATTATTTATTTATATAATAACATTATACATTTATTTATTTATTTACGTATATATTATATATTTACTACAGATAGGAATTTTGTATATCAGAAATAGCTATTTTTTATTTACATTTATATATTTTCTAAATTAATAATAAATAATAAATTTTCCTTATTTGATTTTTATAACATATGTACATTTATATATACATTACAAACATTAATACATTAAAAAAAAGAAAAATTTGAATTATTGAATTTTTTATAAAAAAAAAAATATGAAAATTTTATAAACAAAATTTTGAAAAAAAAATGGGAGAATTACAATTTTTAAAAGATAATATTATAATATATAATATATAAATATATTGCATTATTATTTAATTTATTTATTATTATTATTTTAACATTTTAATTTGTTATTTATTGTCTTAAAACACGAGAATTCAGATTTTTTTTTAAATATTTCTTTAAAACATTTAAATCAATATCTATTGAAATATGATATTAATTATCACGTTATCAGTCAATCTGAACAGATAAAGAAAATTGATAAAATTTAAATAAAATTCTGTAAATTTCAACATATCATATTATCTTTGCGCAATTATTACATTTAAATCATTAGGTTATGTTAACGCGATACTTGCTATTGCTTATATCTAACGGAATCGGTACAATGTGTCAAATTGACACACATTTGTTGATATATACTTTTGTATTTACTTAATTATACATAAATATATATATCAATAAAATATGGGCTACTTAAATTTTCAGTAAGTAAATAAATAAATAAGTAATAAGATATAATTTTTTATATATTTTAATCATATTATTATTGTTTCCTTACAATTATGTAAATTCGTAATTTCAATTGTTTGAAAATTTTGTTAATCGTTAAGTATCATTGTTTATCTATGATAAAAATAGTATATAACATATTTAATATTTTATCTTTCTTTCGTTCTTTATTTTTATAGAATATTTTTTATACTAAATAATTTATATAAAATAATATAATTATTTTATATTTATATTTATTTTTAGAAATGGATTTATATATTTCTTGCAGATATTATTTTGTAAAATTAAAATTAAAATAATATGTATAAAATTATAATGTATAAATTAATATGTATAAAAATGTATTTTTTATATTAAAAATTCTTCTTTAATATTAAATATTTAAAAATAAATTTCATACAAAAGATTATTTTTATTTAAATTATAGCTCAAGCTTACATGAAATACGTGAAACTCCATCTACTGAAACTTGTATTCCAATCCCAAGACATAATTCAACAATAATATTACCTGATATCTATGCGGGCATTCCTGAAAATTTATTGCTAAATTTTTTTGGATTTTTGGTAAAAATTATATTAAAAAAATATATTAAAAAAAGTATATTTTTATATTATAAATTATATAAATATATATATATATATTAATATATCCTATGTACATATTTTTATAATAATTTTTTTAAATATTATAATATAATTTAACAGATCCTTGTTATCTTGTTTGGTTTATTACGTAAAAAAGCATGGAATTATGGACGTCTTGCATTATTAAACAAAACAGATGAACGATGGGTGGAATTATTTTATGGAGATAATGAAGGTAGAGATACAGAAGCAATATGTATAGAAAATTCTGTTAATTCCCAAATTTCTCAAGTTGATAGAGGTTTCTTATCATGGATTATTATTGCATTTAAAGTTAGGTAAATAATCAACTATTTAAAATATATTAAGATTGTGATATACATAACATATTTTAATAAAAATAATATATTTGATATATATGTATTATATTGCATAACTTTAATTTTAGTGATGAAGAATTATTAAAACGAGCAGGCCCAGATGGTTTGCTTTATATATCATTTGAACGTCATTTGATCATTTTAACATGCTTAATGGTTATTGTATCATTATGTATAGCTTTACCAATTAATTTTCATGGTAATATGCAAGGTGATGAAGCAACATTTGGTCATACAACATTATCAAATTTAGATCCAATGTCTCCATGGATTTGGGTGCATACAATTTTAATTTTATGCTATTTACCAATTGGTGGATACATTATGAGACATTTTTTGAAAAAGGTATTTATTTCATTAATTATGAATAAATAAATTTGTTATAAAATTTTTTTTAATTTTTGATTGAAATAATAATAACATTGAAAAGGTACGAGATTCCAGGCATGGTGGTGAATTGGCAGCTAGAACATTATTAATTACAGAAATACCAAAACATCAATGCTATATTCAAAGTCTTACTGATTATTTCAAGTATATAAATTTAATTTTATAATATATAATAATAAATATTGTTTAATTTATTTTACTTTTTTTATAATATTGTTTTGTGTAGACAAGCTTTTCCTACTTTAACAGTAGAAGATATTACATTAGCTTATGATATTAAACGACTTTCGGCACTAAATGTAGAAAGAGATTGTGCCGAACAAGCGCGTTTATATTGTGAAAATTATGCAAAAAAAAGAGAACCATTACAAATGTATCCATATCCATGTGGTCAAGTGATAAGTTGTTGTTGTAAAAATGTATGTAATTCTTTTAAAAAATTATTATTATAATTAAAGATTTATAAAATTTCAATTTTTTTTGTACAGAAAGTTGATGCTCGAGAATTTTATGCAAATGAAGAAATGCGATTGACTGCATTAGTTGAAGAAGAAAAAAAAGTAGCGCTAAGTAGACCTCTTGGAGTAGCTTTTATGACTCTAGGTCAGTTATCATGATTTTATCATGATTTTATCATGATTTTATAAGATATATATATATATATATGACATCAAAATTATGTTAAATTTTATTCAAAATCAATTATAAACAACAATTTCAAAATAATTATTGAATATTATTTTATTTCACAATATAAAACAATTTTCATTATCAATAATAATAATAATATTAATAAGGTACACCTGGTGCAGCTAAAGTTATGCGAAAACACTTACGTTCTTTGCCTAGTTTAACATGGATTGTAGATTATGCACCTACACCTTCTGATATTTTCTGGGAAAATCTAAGTATACCAAGGCCATGTTGGTACCTAAATGCTGTTTTAATAAATTTTGCATTGGGCATTATATTATTTTTTCTTACTACACCAGCTGTAAGTCTTGTTTTAATTAAAATAGTTATAATTCTTATTTTGTTTTTTTTACTAAATTTTTTTATATTCTCATAACATTTTCAGGTAATAGTAACTGCATTGAATAAATTACCAATTACAGGAAAAATTATGAATCTTAGTCCAATAGTCTCATATTTTCTTCCAACTGTATTGTTAGTTAGTGTGGCTGCTTTAATGCCTGTATTAGTATCAAGAAGTGAATCATTAGTTAGACATTGGACTAGAAGTAGTCTAAATCGAGCAGTAATGACGAAAACCTTACTTCTTTTGTTACTAATGGTTCTTATATTACCTAGTTTAGGTCTAACAAGTGCACAAGCATTTTTGGAATGGACTGTAAATGTAACAAATGACACAGGAAGATGGGATTGTGTGTTTTTACCTGATAAGGTATGATAGAACTAATAAAATATAATTTACAATCATAAAAATGTAAAATTTTTGTTTTTTTTAGGGTGCTTTATTTGTAAATTATGTAATTACTGCAGCTCTACTTGGAAGTGGATTGGAATTAGTCAGATTTCCAGAATTAGCATTATATACTTTCAGATTATGTGTAGCACGTAGTAAAGCGGAAAGAATACATGTTAGAAAAGCAGTATTATGGGAATTTCCATTAGGTGCTCATTATGCCTGGTTACTTTTAGTTTTTACTATGACAACAGTATATAGTTTGGCTTGTCCATTAATTACACCTTTTGGACTATTATATCTCGTAGTAAAACATTTGGTATGATGTTAAAATATTTTGTTACATAAAAATAATATATAAACATAATTAAAAGCATATTATATTTATAATAAATATTGCATATTATAGGTGGATAGACATAATTTATGTTTTGCTTATGGACCAAGCATCGGTGGTGGTCAATTAGCAGGTGCAGCAGCAAGTGCTACTGGAGCTGCCCCGATTTTGGCTCAAGCTGCACTATTAGCTCTAGGCTTGGTAAGAAGAGGACTATCACCTTTAGCTGCGGTACAACTTAGTGGACTTGCCGCGAGTATTTTAGGCCTTGTCACTGGTGCTACTTTATCCACATCAAAGTTTAAAGTATATTTCTAAGAATTTTTAGCATAATCAATTTATTATAATTTTTATCATATCGATTAATCAGAATTATCCAAATAATAAAAATAAAATAAAAATAAAATAAAATAATTTTCCTATATAGACACAAATGCCAAAAAGGGATTTATCAGCTGGTCAGAATTTTATTGCACCCGTGTTACGAACAAAACAGGCCTCATTAGAAGAAACCATATCTACAGGTTCAAATTCTAATCTCACTCCAACAAGTTTAAAAAGCACTAGTATTTCTTCAATACAAGATAGTCCGAAACTTTATCAAAATTATGGTAAAGAATCACAAGCTTGATAATTTTTGAATTATTTGATATTAATTATATAAGCGATATATTGAAATAATTTAATTATTGAAATAATTAAAAAAATAGTAATGAAATATTTTATGCTAATTAATTATTAAAAATTCTTATATCATTATATCGTATAAATAAATACGATAATAATGTTTTTTTTGTAAATGAAAACAATTTATTTGTATATTAAGAAAAAAGCATATATGATAAAAATTATATAATGAATATATAATTTTAATTTTTCATTTTGAAAACCCATAAAAATATTGAAATTAAGTTTTGCGAAGTAAAAAATTATTTGTTTGATGTTTATTATTATTTATTTAATATTTCATTTAAATTAATTATACTGAAGTTAGAAGATATTAATTATTATATGTATAATAATAATGCAATAGAAAGTTCAATATTCAATATTCTTCAATTTTCTTTCATATTTTTGATCATATGATAATCGTATAATTCTTATAAACAATTAAATTACTATTCAATATATTCAATATACATTCAATATATATTAACATTGTACATATTGTACTACATTTGAATAAAATTTTATTATAATTTTGAATATTGTTTTTATTAATAAAAAAAATGTTATATATATTATTTAATCTTTTGCAATTTTTTTTTTAAATATATTATTAATAATAGCAGTTTTTAAAATTTAAATATTATAAATTGGGAAATGATCAAAATTTCTGTTTTCATTACAAAAATGTTAGCATCTAATAATTTCCTTTAATTTCTGTAAATAGCACGCTTATTTAGTGTATATACAATTTAAATTACATAAAGGAAAATGCGACTAATAAACTTATTAATTAAATTGCCCATTTCGCTATATTCACATTTATATAAATTGCTTTTTAGACAATTTTTTTAAATATATATCATAAAATTTCTATTTTCACAAATGAAATGGATTACACATTTTAAATGAATTAATTGAAAACATAAAATGTTTTACAATATTCGATAAAAATTTCATTTAATTAATATTTTGTAATAGTAAATAGTCTTAAAAATAACTCGTATTTTATAATAGAAAATTTCAAAATTCACAAGGCAGTGTGAAGATAGTTATTACAATTTAATAAATGTAATTATTTCAATGATTATTTTATAGGTATGATGATATAATGGACAAGAATTTTAAACTACAATATAAAAAAGATTTAAAAAATATGTTTAACTAATGTATAAATATAATGTACAAAATAAACATTGTTTTCACAAAAGTTTATCCATACATAAACGTCCAAATTAATTCAAAATATTGAATTAGTATGACAATTCTAGATACCTAATTATATGTTAAAACAGAAGGAAAAAATATTGCATGAATATGTATGCATTTATTCTATATTATATTATTCGTAAATTAAAAAAAAAAAGCATTCCATGTCAATCCGATTAGATGAATGCTCATCACATGTGTGCGAGCGCGTGTATATACATACATATGCATATGATTCATAAATGCAATGTATGAATATGTATATAACTCATTAAATTATGTAACATAGGTATATTCAAAATTATCATCATTAAAAATAAAACTTATTTTCGTGATAGTAGAATTAGAATTTATTAAAATTTGTTATTCAACTGATCCCTTTGACATGGAATGAGTGTTTTACAAACAATGTATATAATTACAAATACTACTATATTAGCGTTCACAGTTCGCATTTATCATTACATAATTCGTGATTTATCAATTGTGGAGATTTTGAGACTATGCACATTAAAATATATTTTATTGTTTAATCCTAATTAATAAGGATAAATAGTTCACTCAAGTAGACTGCCACCGATTATAGCCTCCAATTGACTAGATGTAAGATTATTTAATTTTTCTACCTGATCTTTTCCTCCTTTCAATCTTAGAGATAATCGGTGTAATTCTTTTCCTTTCATATTTTTTGAATCACAAGGCATAAAATCAGCAAATTGTATTGCTTCTTCGTCGTCTTCTTTTTGAGATTCTTCACTTTCTTCACTACTTGGATGAACCTATAAAATATATTTTTTATCTATTGTTTACATAAAAAATAATATATTTAAACAAATATTAAATATTCATTATAAAATGAATATTCCTTTTACTTTCTAAGAAAAAAAAGCTGTTGTTGATAAATATTTAGAAAATTAAAATATAATTTAAAAGACTTAAACTTAAATTATTTAAAACCAAATTGCGTGCCTGAAAGTGCTATAAATAAAATAAAAAATAACCACAATGAAATTTATATGTAGTATTTATATGTAGTATGATGGGATTTAAATATCTGTTATATACAAGAGAAATTTATTTGCTACTTAATATTTTAAATTATATAATTAAATAACAGAAACTAAACTATTTATTATAAGTTATTTGTTAATTACAAAATACTTTTTTCTTACTATGATCATATTATAAATCAGAGGTCCAAAGAGATAGTACCAAAAAAATATACACTCACTTGAACGTATAAACTTAAACAGAACATGTTTGTTTGTTACTACTTCTCACTACTGCCAATGTCAGGGAGAGGATGCTGGGAACAGTGAAAAAAAATTAAAAAAAAAAAAAAAAAAAAAAAAAAAAAAAAAAAAAAAAAAAAAAAAAAAAAAAAAGAAAAAAGAAGAAGAAGTTAATTGTTAATTTTTGTCTACTTTTGGAAATATTTTAATAATAAATATTACATCAATAATAATATAATATATTTGTTTGAAACAAAATTCTAAAATATTAATTACATACTTTTGACTTGTTTAATGATTTTTTTGTACACAGATAGAGATAATATATATAGCATTATATATATTAATAAATTAAAATATAAAATGTTACTAAAAAGTAACATAAAATGTTATTTTTGAGTTAACGTAATCGTTATTTGATAAAATTAAAAATGGTAATTGAAATCTTTATACAGATATAAAATATTATAACATATTCTATATTCTATTTATAAAAAAATTTTTATAAATATGAATTATAGAAATAAAAACACAATATAGATATATCTTTTAAGATGAACAAATTTGAAAACAAACAAATATTTTTACAATTACTTTTCATATATCTCTAATTATTGATTAACAAATAAATATTTTAAAAAATGCATTACTCTATACATATAACTTCATAACTAATATATATTTCCTTTTCATGCTTACCACCACCATTGTAATTGTATAATCAACTAGATTTATTTAATCTTTGTTATATAAATAATATAAACAAACAAAAGCTAACAATGCTTAAAATAAAACTTAAAATAGTTTTAGATGAAAGCTCAAAATGCATAAAAAAAGATTACTCAATTTCCCCGACAATTTACAATACCAATACTATAATATTAGGATATTATCTCACCTCCACTATGGAAACTCTTGGTGATGGTTCTCTTGGTATTGATTTTTCCATTGTTAATAACGGACTATTGGAACCTGTAGACGAGTATTCTTTGTCTGTTTCAGTATCATTATCCGAATAATCTTTTTCATCTTCTACAGAAGATCTCTGCATATCCATATTTTCATGCAGTTTACAGACAAAACCACCCTTTTCACTGTACTCAAATAGATTTCCATCCAGATGCACTATTGATAATGATGATTAATTTTAATGACGAGAGTAATAATAAATGAAACAAATGTAGTATAAAATTATTTACCTTGACAAAAAGCAGCACTACAGAAGGAACAATGTGCAGATGTTCTACGGCGACATTCTGTACAGCGATGCCAAGGACAACTAAATCTTGAATCTGTATCATCAATGTTTACACAAGCTTTATGATACTTCTTATTACATGTCTTTTGATCACAAATGACAAATTCTGCTAATTTCTCAATTTCTTGTCCACAACTCCAGCATAGTACATGCTTTCTTGATCTAATTATTTTAAAATTTTTATTATGCATTATTTGTATGCTATAATGATAAATTATTGTAAATAAAAATAAATTATCTGAGATATTTAAATAATAATTATGATGAAAAAGAATATAAATACTATTCTGCTCTTTTTTTAAATTTATTTATTATATATGATTGAATAAAACTAAAGATAGTATTCTATTATTTTTATCAAGAAAAATGCTATATGCGTATTTTTATATATTATCATTTACCTTTTTTGACGTTTTATTTTATCAAATTTTTCAATTTTTTTTTGTTGAATTGAAGGTGTTGTTACTTGCGGTTTCTGCACTTTTAGACCTATAAATCCACTACAATTTGATGCGCCACATAAACAAGGCTTTCGAGTTTCTCCATCACAAGCTAAATTATAATTAAAAGTCAATTCTTCGCCAGGCTCGATATCGCATAATGCAAACAGACCTATACGTGTATCTCCATTTACTGTCCACTTTTGAGTCTCACAATTAGGTGAACACGAATGATCTATCAAATATCAAAAATAATATATTAAGAAACATAAGAATTTGTTTATTTTTGAAAAATATATAAAAAATAAAATATACTTACTCATAAATCGACTAAGATTGCCTTTCGGTTCTGCATCGATTGTTCTATTATTATCTATAGTTAGAAAATAAAAATTCTCATTTTTTAATTCCTTTTTTCTATGTAGTCTTCGCTTGTATTCAGCCTCATCTATAACTTCACCTACATATTCTATAACAAACTGTCCAGCTTTAATGTGTTCTAAACTTCTAAGACCCCAACCACGTCCTACAGTATGAAATGGTTCCATAGCTGGATATTGTCTTCGTACAAATGCTTGATTGTTACATTTGGGACCAGCTGGACAAATGCCAGGGCTACATTCAACTAATAATATTCGGTTAAGACAATCTGTTCCTGGTGCACATGGGTTTTCCCATTCTGGATCACAATCACATGCAACAATACTTTCAACTTCTACTGGCTTTACATTACCAACTGGTTTATTCACCTATAAATATAGATATAAATTATATAATTTAATTTTCTCGTTTATTTAAAGAAAGTGCTGCCACATAAAAAACTATATAATCATCAATAGTTTATCAATGGAATTTCATTATGGCATAAAAGACCATTGAAACAATTATATTAATTTTATATATATTAATGAGAATGTATGATCGGCGACAGTACCTTTAGATATAGCAACGAGAAATCATGTTATAAATTTATTCATTATATTCTAATATAATAATTTCTAGTATAATATTTTCTAATATAATAATTCATTATATTCTAATATAATATTCATACTAATATTCATGTACTTATTTACATATATGTGTATATATATATATATATATATATATATATATATATATACAGAATTATACCTTTAATTTAACATAATGTGGAGGTTTCAATCCACGTGGTCCATGGTCTTTAGCAGCAGCTCTTTCAATTTTTAAACGTTGATGAATCTCATTGGCTTCTTCTAATGCCTTGCGATAAGTATCATCTCGATTTTTTTTACCAATTGGTGGTTTTATATTTGCATCACCATCTTGATACAAAAAAGCACGTCCTCTATAAGTAGAAAAATAATTATTGATGTTAACATCTTTTTTAATATTTAATTTAAACAAAATAATAATGAATAAATATTTATATATTTATATATATATACCTATGAATCCAATGATAATTATTCGATCCTAAGAACATTACGCAAAATTTACCAGGACTATGTGCTATAGCTTCTATATTTTCAGGAATTTCATGAGGATAACAAATACGAGATGGCCACCAACGATAATTACCAAGTTTAACCCAAACAACTTCTCCATATAAAGGCAATCTACCTGTTTCACAATCTTCACAAATAAATGCACCATCAGGAGCATTGATACCTAATTATTATTAAAAAATTATATAATTTATTATATACTATATATACATATTATTTTAATTACTATTATCATTATTTCAATTAATTTTACTAATTATCTTATTTTATTATTAATATTTATATAATAAATAGCAATTATAGCATGATTATAGCAACATAATCATAATTTATTATTAATGCTATTAAACTTATTATACTTGCTTTAAAAAATAGTTACCTAAACATTCTAAATGAAATGATGTTGGACATGTATCACAACAAATTAGACTTCCACCTCTTGTACATAAAAAACACCATGCTGCATTTACTGGAGGTTGTGGTGGTTGATAATGCTTTGGACAAACTATTTGACTACCAGTTAAAATCACTGAACCAGCAGGTAAACAAGATGTAGATGTATGATAAGATGAAGGACAACGAACACATCGTGCCAATTTCTCATTTGGAGCTCTTGAATGACTATCTTGAGGATTGTCTGAACTGCATGTATGACATATGTGATACGGACAAGTCAAACGGCCTCCCTGCCAATGAGACTAAGAAAAAAGTATTTGTAAATAGTATACTTTAAATTTAATAATTACATGATTATATACATATATTATTATTATTATTATTATTATTATTATTATTATTATTGAACATTACTTGTGGCCATGATTTTAAGCAAGATGAATGATAATGTTTTCCACAAGCTAATACAGAACATCTTATTCTATCTCCTTCTCTTTCATTACATATAAAACAGGCAGGTGCTACTCCTGATAAACAATCAATACATTTAAAGAACTCGTCTTCTTGTTCTTCTGATTTGCCTAAAATTAAAAATAACATTTATTTTAATTAAATGTTATATATAAAAGATATAATAAATAATTTTCTATACCATTATTCTCATCATCATCAATATTATTTTGTTTAATCTCCTTTATATCATCGAGAATCTTATCGTCCATAATATTCTCATCAATGGAATGTTCTGGACTAGATTCTCCTGGTTTGACGCAAGAAAGATGAAAATACGAATAACAAGGACCTTTACATCTAGTTAATTTTCCAGTTTTTTCACATATTTGACAAACTTTCTCTTGTTTCATTCCTTTAAAAAGATTATAAGGTCTATTTTTTTTCGTTTCTGAAATATTTATCTCTTCTTTTTCAACTTTGATTTTAGATTTTTTATTATCTTTAGTATTTCCATCTATTTCTATCAATAAATCATCTTCCTGATCTAACGAATTTTCTTTTGCATGGACATTAGAAGTGTCTGAAGTTACATACGATCGATACTTTTTGCGAAAAGAAGAATTCATATTATCCCAAGTTTTTCTTAAATATTTTTTGATATCATGTTCTGATGCATCCGGATATTCATCTTCTAACATATCTCTATTTCGTTCATAATAAACTTCAAAAACACCATCTATATCTTCTTCAGTTCGAAATTCAACTTTTTGCATGAGAGAAACTTCATCATTTGAATCTCTTTGACTTAAGGGAGATAATGGAGGAGTATCTGAATTGAGTTTTGAATGATTTTTACCATTTTCAATGTATTTGAGTATATTTGATTTTGTACCATCTGTTTTGTCTTGTAATGATTTATGTAACTCACATACCTATAAGATTATTCAATATAAATATTTATAATCTAATATATGCTAATAATTTATTATTATTAGTTTTTTATTAATAGTATATAAATATTTTAATCATATACCTACATTATCTTGTTTAGTACGTTTAAGATCAGGACCATTTGAATCACTTGAGTGTTTTCTTTTATTAATTTTATCCTTTTCTTCAGATATTTTTGATGATTTATTTTTTATATTTTTTTCCTTTGGCTTAAAAATATTTGCTCTATCATCATTACTCATAGGCTGAACTTCCATAGCTTCTTCAATCGCACTTTCCCATTTTGATTTTATACCAGGTTTTACAATAAATGCTGCTGCATATTTTGCATCTCTTTTTTTAACTTCTGCAGTGATTGATTCTGATAATTTTTTAAAGTCTGCAAGATTTGTAAATGGTATCATAGAATTTGACGAAACCCAACTATGACGTCCTTTATCACCAAAGTATTGGACATGTATCATTAGTATTTGTGATCTGGCAGTAGCTGGTCAAACATACACACATATATAATTTACATAATTTATATCAATTAGCATAAGATTGTTATATTTAAAATATAAGCAAAGAAAAGAAAAGCTCTTTACAAATAATTTATAATATAACATATATTGCATATTCATGAATAATACATAGATATTTTTTAAAAAATAATAATGTTAACATATAACTTAAAATTATTAATTTAATTATAATAATATGTTATTAATAATTTTTATTAATAATAAAGATAAAAAGAATAAAAAATTATACAAAATATTATTAAACAAAACTTATATATAATCTTTTTAATAACTTTGATAAATAATATAAAAATAAAAATTTACCTTTTAACCTATGATATACCATTAAAACTGGATCAAGTGTTATAACACAAGGCCAAAAAGGGAAATTACCAACTCTGGCCCATGCTAATTGACCTAAAATCCAATTACATTGTATAGGTGAACCAACTAATTTTGGAGTAGTTTCTTCCATGATACTTAAACTATTAGAAGAATCACTTGTATCGTCCATATCATTAGTTGTATTATTTTCATCAGTACTATCATTACTACTATCAAATGAATTTTGATATTTTCGATTCTTTGGCATTTTAGAATTCTGTAAATCACATATATTAACATTATATTAATGAATATTTTTATCAATATATTTAATTAAAAGAAATATAATAACAATTAAGAAAGAAAAACAATTAACATATAATTATATCATTATAAATATATGCATATGTGTATATGTATTGGTATCATACTGTCACAAATAGATACACATACACACAAAAAAAAAATATACAGTAAAACATTAAAGAATGCTACATGTAGTACCATAGTTTGTTAAAAATGATATTGATCTTTAATCAGAAAGAATTGATCTTAAGAGGCATAACATGCCTTTGGAGAACTGGCAACCTCATTCTTAGGAGACTTAGGTTTTATTATTCTGCCATAACGACTTCTACCAGGTGAAGTTTTGTTACAATTAACACTGATGTCCATTTGATCATTCTCAAAATTGTTGCTCGTTGTTTCCAAATTTCTATCGAATTCGCCAAATCTTGATTCAACAATTATGCCCACCTTGCTATTTACTTTGTTGATAGTATTCATTGTTTTCTAACTAATTTAGCATCTTCGTCTATTGAGGAAGACAATAATTTAATGATATGAAACCTCATATATTTCTTCACTGATTAGCACAATATAAACTTTAGAACTTGTGTATAAAGGATTCACGAATAGAAAACAATTTTCATTATCGCTGAAAATAGCTGCGATGGCCGATTTTCAAGGGCTACTTTATTTCTTACAGAAACAACACCTATTTTTTATGAGTCCATAGGAATTAGTATGTATTGCATGTAAACTTCTAAAAAAATTAATTCGATGTCTTGTAAATTATTTCTCTTTTTAGTATTAAAAAATTGTAACTCAACCTCACGGGTCTCTAAGCAGAAACAGGACGCGTTTCCCGCGATTTTGGGTGATTCTCATAACCATGTTTAGTTTAATTTTTCACTATATTTAACGTTTAGTAATTTTTGTTTTATCAGTTATTTCAATTTTGTTATGCATGGAAACATGATGAAATTCATGTTAATAATGATTATTGTATTAATACCATTTTATTAAATATTAATTTTTCTTTAAATTATATATTTATATTTTAAATGGGAAATCATTAATTTATTATATTTAATTGTACAATATGTAAGATATACATAAAAATATATATATACATATATGTATATAATATTATATATACTTATATATTATAAATACTATGAAATATAATGTATTCATAATAAAATCTATTTTATTATATTAAAAATAATATTAATTATATTAAAAATATTTATTCGGACAATTTAAAAACAAAATTAATATAACTTAAATTATTGTTTATTTATAAAATTTAGCAACATAATGTTCTTTAGCACTTATATCATTAATTTCATGTAATCCATTTTGTTGCGCCATACTTTTTAATTCGTTCACAAAATTTTGTAAATGTTCATTTCGTAATTCTACTAAGTACTTTTGCAATTCCACTAACATGATTCCTTTTTTTTTAAGTAATGGTACAAGATTGGGCAATTGTTTCACCATATTATGAGCTACCCAAATGAAATCAAATCTATTAACATATTTTGTTTTATGCTTAGAAGTTTGTAAAAATGTAATGGGGTGAAAAATTATCTGAAAATATAATGTAGATTATAATATGTGTACTTATTAAATTCAAAATTTTATGTAATATTTTATAATCTGTAAATAAAATTTTATAATACTTTATGATTTTCAATATTTATCCAAGATATATTATTCTTTTTATATTTATTTCTTCCTATTTCCCATGATTCTTGTTCCATTTCTTTATTAGGAGTTTCAATTACTAATGTACCATTTAATATAGATGGATCTCTATGTGATGCAATAAATTCTTCACATATTGATTCTTGATTTCTGATTTCATATATAGATCTCATAATTTCTCGTTCAGCTATATCAGTTGCTCTATTCCTATTATTATATTGTTATTATTTTCAATGCTTTATTAAAATTATATAAAAATTATAAAATTCAGAATTAATATCTTACATGTGAGTATCTTTCTTTTCTTCTAAGATCCAAGTGAAGAAAGGACCATTTGTAATGTCTCCTAAGTAAGTGTAATGTATAAATCCAGGTCCATATTGTATTATATTGCTTAATAATGTTGGATTACTTCTAACAGGTTCACCTTCTAACCAAGTAAATGCAATTCCATTATTTCTCCAGAATCTGATGATTGGAATGAGATAGTTAAATAATAAAAATATATTAATATGATAAAATTTCATAAATATTTTAGAATTAATAAATATATACATATATACCTATATTCCTGTAATGTTAAGTTAGAAATACCTCTAGATTTTAAAATCATATGATAATCCCAATCAAAAACACCTTCTCGATAATCATATCTTGTTTTCAAAGATCTTCTAATTCTCTGATCCCAATATTCAACAATAGGAATATTTTCGCATGTTGCACGTTCCCAAAATCTTATAATATATATATACAATTAGAAACATAAATTTATACAATAGAAACTTACAAAATATAAAAATAATTTAAATTTTTAATTTTTTATATAAACTTACTTAAAAATTGCTTCTAAATGATCTCTATCTTTATGCTTAAATTGTTCCAAATTTAACCAAGGACAATTTATTGTATTTATTGGTATATTTGATAATTGATTAGAGGACTTTATTAAATATTTGGCTGTTGCAGGTCTTATTAGTGTATTTCCAAATATTTCTAAATAATATCGAGTTGCCTCTTGTAATCCTTTTATATTTCATTTTTTTTTTTTACATTGTTTGTTTATATAAAAACAAACAAGAAAAATAATTTATTTATTATAAAAGCAACGACAACATATAATTTAAAAATAAATATACATACCTAGATTTGTTTCTAAACAAATATTTAATAAAAGAATAGATCTAGCCACTTGTTCTAATGTTGATTCAATTACATTATATATGATAATGCGATCATTGTATAAATAAGATGATGCTAATGTTTTCAAAATATGTCTTGCATCACTAGCCCCTACAATTAATACTTCAAGACATTTACCTTGATAATTAGTTTCATGTTTATTAATTTCAAACTGTATATCTAATGCAGGACTGAATCCCCACCACATAATTGTATTATTTTTATATTACATTAAATTCAAATTATAGACTTTAAAATATTCCAATAATAGAAACAATGAATAATAACATTAAATATAGATACTAAATATAGATTTTAAGATATATTATTTCCATGGTAACATTGATTTATATATATCAGTTTCTAATATATGACAAAACAATTTCACAATATTATATCTCATATTTCATAAAATAATTATTGATTTATCTTTTTTGATTCTTCATAGCTGTATATTTAATTATTTACTTGTTATATCAAAATTTGTTAAAAATAAACACACATGCGTATGGTTATAAAATATATATACATACATACATATATATATATATATATATATATATACGTGCGCATATATCCATATGTACGTATAAACAAAAAAAAAGAATGTTTTATATTAAAATTAAAAATTATAAATTTATATAATAAAATTATAAACATGAGAGTGATAATTATGTCATAGACTTATAAAACCATTTATTTTGTTCCTATAATATAGATTCTGTGACACAGATAAAAATAACGCCCTCTCAAACCTTGCTCACGCAAGGATGTTTTATAAACATATTCACGTTAATTCAATACGCACAATAACTCATTTATCTCGTTTTTTTTGAGCACGTTTATTGCCGCATCGTTGTAAAATATCTGTAATAGGTCCTTTATGTTGAAATATTGCAATAAGTTGCGTGCGTGCTTCTGTCATTCCTTCACTAATTAAGCTACTACGTTGCATATTTCCTTTAATCAATTCATTTACACGTTCAAGACCGTCATCTTGTCTATTCCTGACATTTTGCTGTGATTCAAGTATAGTTAATGTTGTTTTTAATTTTTCATGAACCTATATGAAATTTTATTTTATATTAATTTTACATTATAGTTTAAATGTATATTATTATAGAAATATATGTTTTACATTAATCTATATTTACTTGTTTCTCAAGATCTGCAATATCTTCCATTTGTGCTGTAAGATGATATACTTTCCAACCATTTAATTTCTGTAATACATGTTTCTGTTGAGCTATTTCTGCAACTGTAGGTCGTCTTTCTTCACGAGGTCTAACTTCACTTGGTCTTCTATAATGATGAAGTCTACTACCCCATCTGTTCTTCCAAGAAGGCCCTAATATTGAAAATGATTTTCTGTTAATATATATTTATAATGATTTTAATTATTCATTTTTTTCACAAACCTAATAAACTAGGTGTAGGCCGTGTTCGTATTGCAACTGTTGGTTGCTGTATAGGAGATTTAATAATATCGCATTGTGTATTTGAAGTTTGTCTTTTTTCTGATAATTTTTCTTTTGATTCTTCTTTATGCTCTTTTTTCATTCTTTCTTCTGTAATAAATTGCATTTCTTCTTCTGTACATCTTGATTCGGTTAATTCTACTGCGGTAAGTTGTTGTTTTCGAGGTTTTTTTCTAGGAGACATTTCCACTGTTGGATTTATTGTAATTCTAGATTGTTCTGGTTCTTCATCAAGTCCAGGTGATGATGTTGCAGAAACTGTAGTAGATCCTGAACTCTGACAACCTCCACCATCTTGATCTCCTCTCGGTGAACATGGTGGACTAGATGTTGTAACAGGAGGTAAAGATGCAAGTACAGGAACTAAATTTTTTGCCGCATCTAAAAATTTAAAATTATTTTATCAATTTTTTTTCAGTAAATATATAAAATAATATAAAATAATAAAATATAAAATAATGAAAGAAATAAAAAAGAATAAAAATAAAAGATTATAATAAAGATTTTATATATAATAATTTATATCATTTAATTTTCTCATTTCATACTTTTAATAGGTGAATTGTCATGATCTCTTTTTCTAAGTATACTTGGTCGAGGAGATGCATTTGTTTTAGTGTGAGGTTCATCATATCCAGGTTCAACAAGTAATCTCACTGGAGTTTGACGGTATTGAGTATATGTTCCTGCACAATATCATAAAGTAAAATTTTTTTTAAAAACTATTCATATTAATAATTAATAAAAATTGTGGGTTTACCTGTGGGTTCAAAGGAATAATAAGTTGCAGTATGAGGTGGATGTAAATATTGTCCTTGTGCCGATTGAGAAGGCGTTGTATTTGAATTGTTATTTGTATTACTGGTAGAAACACGAAATCCAGATTGTTGAGTGGGTTTGATTTGTATAGTTTGTCCAATATTTTGTGCCTGTACTGTTTTAGCAGGTGCTGATGTAACTCTTGTAGGTGCTAAAGGTAAAGGATGCAAAGACATTCCAGTAATTCTAGCAACAGTAGTTGATGAAGGCTGTGATATTCTTGTTGTATTTGATGTACTTGCTGTTGTAGCAACTATACGTGATACTGCATTAAGATTTGATAAAGAAGTTACTGTTTGAACAACACGTGGTATTGTTTGTGATTGTGGCTGCTGTTGTTGTTGCTGCTGCTGCTGCTGCTGTTGTATCTATTATATGGTCAATTCTAATCAATATTCAAAGCACTAATAAAATATTTCTTACATCATAATAAATGTGATAATATATCTGTGTACCTACTTGTTGAGAAGGAATTACAATTCGACTAACAGTTCCAGTAGATGGAGAAGCAACAGTGTTTATTGATAATTGTCTTCCAACTGTTGGCTGAACAGTCACTGAAGCTGAAGCAGTTACTCTATTTACAGTTCCAACTACAGGTGCTGATACAGCTATACGATTTACAATACCTGTAGTACTCAAAGGCCTGTTTGACTGATTAAATTTTATTTATTTTATCAATATTATTTTTTAATATAATTTAGTTAATTATGAAATATAATAATTACTTGAATACTTTGAGTCGAAGATCTACCAGGTTGTGTAGTTTGTGATATATTTGATATTTGAGGAGCAGATGGTCTACTTTGTGTAACCGGTAATCTTGTAATACTATTATTTGCTTGAAGAACTGGTGCTATTAATCTAGATGGAGTACCAGGAACTCCAGTAACCATTGTGGCTTGTACAGATCTTCCTTGACCTGTAGGTGTAATTAAACGAGGCTGTTGACTGGTATATACTGTTGACGGTGGCCTTGAAATTCGATTAACTGGAGGTGTTGAATGCCTTTGTGGTTGTGCATATACAACTGATGTTGTTTTAGGTTGCCATTGTGGATTTGAAATAGCTGTATTTATTCTAAAATATGCAAAAAATAGTATGGGTTTCTATTTATTAAATGTTTAAAAAAAACTTTATTTACCTGCTATATTTACAAAAATATTTAATGTTTAATTATATAAATAAAAGATAAAAAATTCAAATTTTTATAAGATATATATTATATATATATAATAATTTTTAAATATAATATAATATATATATATATATATATACCCTGGTCTTGTAGTAGGTATAGTTTGTCCTGTATTTGCTCTAACAATTGGAGTAGCCACTGTTGATCTTGGAGCAGAAATATTAGCAACTGCAGCTGGACCACGAGGCACATGATAAGTTGCCGGCATATTTGACACTTGCTGTGTTTGTTGTAATAATTGCTGAGCCTGTGGTTGGTTTTGACGTTCTACTGTACTTAACATACCTGGTGATATTATCCTTACTGTAGAGCCTACTGAACAGATCTATCAAAATATAATCAATATTTATTAAGATTTATCATAGAGAACTGTTAAAATTTTTTATATTAATTTCACTATAATAAAATTATATATTTAAATATTAAATATAAAAAAATTATTTTTACCGTTGTAGTTATTTTGTTTGTTTCTGAAGTTGAAGTGGTACCAGATGGAACTACAGGTTTCATTACAGGTAATTTTGAATTTGTATCCATTGACATTGATTTTCCAACAAGATTAGTTGATGTTCCAACTGATCCTACTATAGTCTGTGTTGATTGAATATTCTGTATATTACTTTGAACAACACTTTGTGCATTTTGTATACTTTGCATAGTAGTTAAATTCTGAGCTATGCTTTGAACAGTTGTTTCTGATAGATGTTTATCACCGCTGCTCTCGACTGAATTTAATGTTGTATTCATGTCTATATTTCTAAAAATTATCTTTTTCAATAAGATATATTATAGTAATATATATCTAAATAAAAAAAAATCTATGTTACATAAAAATTAATTAATCTTTAGATTTTATATTTTTATGTTATATCATTATATTTTATCTTTTGAACTTCGTAGAAGTTAAAAGGATTATTATATGAAAACTGGTCAATATTATAAAAGAATTCCTAATTTTTTATATGAATTTAAAGATTATTTAATTTTGTAATTAGTTCAAAACAAATAATCTAATAACAATAAAAAGAATAGCAATGTAATAATTATTATAAAATTAATAAATAAAATAATATTTTACATTATAAAAGATTAACGTACTTTTTTGTCTTTGAAATTGACAATAATCAGTATTTTTTAGGAATACTATGATAAAAATATGTATACCTTTATAAAAACATAACGCGGTAAAATCATTACCGACTTATTTAAACATGCATATATGACATTTTCAAAATATTTTTGTTTCATTGATGTTTCTTGAAAAAAAACATTTTACACTCTAAACAGCAGTTTTCTTATCACTACAGAAGTTTATAGCGCCTAATGTAAGTACAATACAGTGCAGGTAAATTGTTATTAGACAAATAAATGTTCTATGTATTTACTATATTCTCTATTTCATAGGAACATTTCATTTAGTTAAATAGATGTAAATGGAAATAAATACATTATTATGAAATTTAAATAAATAATAGAATTAAAAATTTTTGAGAATTTTATACATAGATTAATATAATATAATTTAATATAATATATTGTAATACATATTTATTTTAAAAATAAGAAATAATATTTTTGAAAGAAACTCATTTACTAGATTAAAACTAGTGATTTTTATTATAAATTTGGTTAAATTGCAATAATAATAAAATGAATTATGTTAATTATTTATTAAGCTTTTTTTTAATTTAAATATGTATTCAATATTATTTATGTTGGTATTATATATTTTTAAAAAACTTTGATATATAAGCGTAAATAATTTCTAACTATATTTTTGTAACTACAAAAATATAATACAATAATTAACTTGAATAAATAC